AGCCCCACCCTCCCCACCTAGCCCCTCCCTCCCCACCCAGCCCCTCCCTACCCTCCCCTCTCCACCCAGCCTCACCCCTCCCATTTTTGGATGCACGACGGACGGACACAATAATCCCCTGTGGGCTAGAGTAACCAGAGGTTCCTACCAGTATAACTCTCCGTGTGTTTAACCAACAGAGGAGCAACAGGGCAGACTCGGCCACAGAAAACGCGGACCGCACCTACACGTCGCTGATAATTCCGCCCCCTCTCTACGAGACCATCCATCCATCGGAAACGGAACCTGAAGAGGAATAGGCAGATGTCGTGTTCATTGGTAACTCCCCCTACGTGTGCTGTAACGCATATTTTCTAGATGCTACCCACCACGCGCCACAGTCTTTGTTCAGCCTGCGAATGCATCTCACGTGTTATCGCAGACTGTGCTTTACCCCATATTAAAAATAATAACGCGATTATTCCCGAACGCGTTGTTCCTAAGGAACGCATCTACCGCGTTATAGGAGAAGGGACTCTGCAGTCATTAACGTCAGTTCACTGATGGAGAAGCACCTCAGCAAAGCTAAACGATCATGGAGGTTATCCGGGCTATACCGTAGTACACATGCTGAAATGTTGAAGGTGGGGAGAATAGACTTTTTGCGAAGGGTTAGGAAACACCAATGCATTCCTCTGCACTGGTCTCTACAACACGAGTACAACTCTTCAATACTCGCCGAGCTTCTCCACACTACTCGTTAGGAGGATTCTGCATTTACTAATGAGCTCGCTATATACCCACTGAGGCTCGCCACATTACCAGAAGGCATGTGCATTACTATGTTGTATATGCCGGGTATGAAAATTTGATGAAAATAATAAAAATTAAATGAAATTTGGAAAAATGTGTAATTGTCAGAAATTATATTAATTGATGTAATTATGCGCATAAATTATGCTAGTTCGAGAGATAATCGTATTAATGTTTGCGAATGCGTGCGATTATGCTAATGTACACAGTTATGATAATTAGGCTCAACCTCGTTGTCGAGGGCAGTATTATCAATTGGTATCGTACAATTATTCTCTCTTTAACATTTACTGATTATGTATTAGTGTTAATGTCAGGTCTCCAAATTCAAATCTCACAGCAGGATACAGTTCTTATAATTAAGATTATTATACATGAACTCAGGAAAGAAACACAAACACTTCTGTGTTAGGCAATTGCAATTTCTAAACAAAACCTTAACACTCTAATATGCGAACTATCATGCTTGGAATTACCCCCCGGTACCATCGGGGAATTTTCCCTCAGTGAGCAGTACATTTAACCATCAATGGTTGCGTTGTTTCACTTTGGCAACCGCACATATGATTAATTCCACCACGTAACACGAGCTTAGTTGGTCATAGGGAGAGTCTTTAAAACAGGCATGCAACGATATTCTAAACAAAAACCTTAACTCTCTAATATGCGAATTCTTATGCTTGAAATTGTCCACACAGTACTCCAGGAGATGTTCCCCTCATTGATCCATACATTCAACCCTCAATTATCACGTTGTCAATTGGGTAACAGATCAATGATTACTTCAGAGTACACGAGCATATACGGCAAATCGGAATAAAAGTCCTTAAAAAATACTTCTAAATGATCATATCCACGTAACTCAATGGGCAGCAATGTTCTTCACGATCAGTTGATATTTAATGCACCACCTTGGAATGGCAACCCTTCTTGATTTGTCCCGATATGCGTGTTGTGTGTCTTCGTAAAGCAGATCCCGGGTGATGCGTCGTGTGGGTGCGAGTGTGGGGGAGGGTCACACAAACTGCTTCTTTCTCGCTCTTGCTTGGGGCGTCGGCTTAGCTGCCCATCTGCTGGCCGATACAGGCTCTTTCCACTGCTGGAGGGGCTGCACCGCACGCGCCCCCTCCTTGAAGATGCTCGATCGTGCTCGCCGCTGGTCCGCTGACACTCTTGCTCACGGGCGGCTGGTCAGGCTCTTTCCCCTGCTGGACGAGCCGAGTCGGCACAACGCTTGTCCGCTGGCAGCTGGCACCCTTGCTTGGCCCTCTCCGCCCTTTCTCGAGGTGGATTGCTTGACGCTGAGAATACTTTCAGCGATACTCTGTCGGCCCATGCCGATCTCAGCACAGAGCATCACCTCGCCCCTCTTCTCTGCGATGCACCACACGCATTGTTGATCTCGAGGCCATGCTCCGGGGCTCGCCGCTCGCCGCCCTCTTCTGTCGCTCGCCGAGCTGTCCCTTGTCGAGCTGAATTGTCGAGCTGAACTGTGTGTGTCGTGTTGCTGTTTATATCCGAAAAAATCTCCCCTCTGCGCGTCTCTTGCGAGAGGACAGAAAAACAGATGTTTACTCCGTCATGCTCTTCCCTCGCGGCCGCGCCTGACTGCCTCCGTCCCCTCTTCCCTAGGTGACCCCGGGCGGCTGCTTTACATCAATTTGATGTTGTTTGTGAAATGTCCTTTGGCAATCTGGAGATTTCTAGATAGTCACTAACCTCCCTTTGCCCCGGAGTTTATTATTTAATGGCCTTTTACGAGCTCCAGCTGCTTGGTGCTTGTGGGAGGAAGCGAGTTTGAGGGTGTTTAAATTATTTATTTTATAACTTATTATAAAAAATTGGCAGAATTATTTTTTATATTCATTTTTGGGAAAAGGCCTATATATACAACTATCAGGGGAATGTTGGGTGAAACAGGAGGCTTGGGTTTGGGACATTTTTGTACGTTAGCCAATAATTGATCATAGAACCCAAGAGGGCATTGTACTACTAAGAAAAAATGGAAAGTAAAATAAGTTATTAAAGGGTAAAAAAAATGTTTTCATAATATTACCCACACTATGATGGCAACGTAATATCTGCCATTAACTTGAAAAGAGATACAAGTTAACGGTTGCGGATTACAAACAACAACAACGAACTGCCTTTAAGGTACCCCGCTGATGAGCCTCTTGCTTTATTCTTCTCAACAGACGAGTGAATGTTGCGACATCAATGGCTCCATCCGGGTTGGATGAACTCTGGCTCCCGTGACCTGCAGCTGGCTCTGAGATCTGGGGTCACTGGAGCTGTGGTTTATGCAGCTGAGGTGACTGGAGGTGAAGTCATTGAAAGTGAAGTCACAGGAACTGCGATTACTGCAGCTGGGGTAACTGGAGCTGGGGTCACTGGAGCTGAGGTCACTGGAGCTGAGGTCACTGGAGCTGGGGTCACTGGAGCTGGGGTCACTGGAACTGGGGTCACTGGAGCTGGGGTCACTGGAGTTGGGGTCACTGCAGCTGGGGTCACTGGAGCTGGGGTCACAGGAGCTGAGGTCACTGGAGCTGGGGTCACTGGAGTTGGGGTCACTGGAGCTGGGGTCACTGGAGCTGAGGTCACTGGAGCTGAGGTCACTGGAGCTGGGGTCACTGAGGCAAACATTATACCGTAAGAAGCGCATATTTTGAGCTATTGCCCATTGTCATCATCCTACAATCATCATAAGTAACATTTGTAGCATTATCATTTGTAGATCCTATTTTGCAGGGCGGAGCCCCTCAGGGTCACCACCTAAAATATTCGCTTCATATATTCTTCAATAGCAAGGTATTATTAATTACAAATGTCATCGTTTTTAATGTAATATTTATCTTCATATAGATGGAAATATGTTGAACTTCTGTCACACTGTACGTAGCCAAACGCGCTAATCGGATATGCAACGGGAATTCTTTCCGGAATTCAAACAATAAAACTCGTCATATTATTATTCCAATTGACAAGTGTGTTGAGTTTGTGTTCCTTGGTAATCAAAGTGTAGTCTCAGCAGCATTCACCACAAGCTCTCAGTCGTGGTGGCTGATAGAGCAATGAAGAAGAGAGATACCGATCCGCGAAAATGAAAACGCGTGCAGCTATTACCACGTGGATAGAGTGTAAATACGCAAGCAGATGGACATGTAGAGTCGCTAAAATCTACAAACTATGAACTATTTTTTTTATTTTAACAGGTAAGGTCCCATTAAAGCTATGTAGCTCTTTTTCAGATGCGACCTGGCCACAAACGATAGCTCAATTAAGTGGCTTATCACGTGGAAATGTATAGCAGCCACGTATTATAAACGAATGTTGATTATAAATGTGGAGGGGCACAATTGGAGGACCCGGAGGAAAATCTACACGACCACGGCGAAAGAGAGAACATGCAAACTATAGCCCCGCCCACTTCCTCATCATGTCTTCACAAGCAGCCTCCCACTTCTAGCCCCGCCTACTTTCCCCTCGTGTCTTCACACGCAGCCTTCCACTTCTAGCCCCGCCCACTTCCTCATCATGTCTTCACAAGCAGCCTCCCAATTCTAGCCCCGCCCACTTCCTCCTCCGGTCTTCACACGCAGCCTCCCACTTCTAGCCCCGCCCACTTCCCTCTCCGGTCTTCACACGCAGCCTCCCACTTCTATCTCCGCCCACCTCCCTCATGTATTCACACGCAGCCGTCTACTTTCAGCCCCGCCCACTTTTACCTCATGTCTTCACACGCAGACTCCCACTTCTAGCCCCGCCCACTTCCCCCTCATGTCTTCACACGCAGCCTCCCACTTCTAGCCCCGCCCACTTCCCCCTCCGGTCTTCACACGCAGCCTCCCACTTCTATCCCCGCCCACTTCCCTCGTGTATTCACACGCATCCGTCTACTTTCAGCCCCGCCCACTTCCCCCTCACGTCTTCACACGCAGCCTCCCACTTCTAGCCCCGCCCACTTCCCCCTCATGTCTTCACACGCAGCCTCCCACTTCTAACCCCGCCCATTTCCCCCTCCGGTTTTCACACGCAGCCTCCCATGTCTAGCCCCGCCCACTTCCCCCTCGGGTTTTCACACGTAGCCTCCCACTTCTAGCCCCGCCCACTTCCTTCTCACGTCATCACACAGAGCCTCCCCACTTCCAGCCCCGCCCACTCCTCCCTCATGTCTTCACAGCTTCAAATCAAGATCAAACTACACATATACAGGCATCAAGGTCGGGTTCGAACCCACGACCTCCTGGATTCCACTTGGGGCAGATTATTTGGCAGCTATGAATGTCCACATGGTCGCATCATAAAAAGAGCTATTTACCTAGGTGAGCATTACCTGGTAAAAAAATAATATGAAGTTTATTTTTAGTTTATTTCAAACATGCCAAGTGAAATTGAATATCTCAAGAATATTACCGTCGGGACATTTACGAATAGGTTATTGAATAAAATAAATAAATCAGATTCAAATCTACATTTTAAGATAAAGTTTATTGTGTTTAACGAGGTGGATATTCAGGACACCGGAAAGTCATCTCACGCGCAAGAGCTTGGCCTAGAGTCTGCCAGGAGGGGGCGATGGCTGCTGATACGGGCAGTCCACGACTCACGAACGGGGTTACGTTAGGAAGTCGGCAGGTTCGTAAGTTGCAACACAATAATGTAACGGATTTAAATGTCCATGCGGTCAGTGGTAAGAAATGCGTTTTGGTTAAACACAAAGGGAAGCATTGTTAAACTCATAAATAAGAAATGTAGTACATCTGCATGTAACACTGTGATAAACTCATAATTAATAAATGTAGTACATTTGCATGTAACACTGTGATAAAATACTGTCGATGTATAATTAAAGACCTTCAGGAAAAAACCTTAAAATCCGTAATTTTTCCATTTTAAGGTCCCCAAATCTCGATTTGCGACGATCTGTGGTCCCATCGACGTGATAATGAGCGCTTTATTTTCTGGCAGCGCAAGCGCACAGCACCTCGCGGTCGTAGGCGTCAGGTTCAGACCACACGTGGAAAACACGTCGAAGAGGGAACCGCAAAAGACGAACACCCAAGCGAAAAACTTTCCGCTCAACGCCAAGATGGGGAAGTTGGAAGGCCGAATTTTGGCATAAAACGGCACACGAGGAAGTGAGGGTTGAGCAGTTGGAGAAGAGGCTGTCGAGAGCGGTCTCCCTGGGCATGGCCGGGTCGTGCTGTTGGTCACGTGCCGCCTGTCTCGTCGCTCTGTGGGCTGCTGTCGTGAGTGAGTAACTCCCGCTGACTGGGCACTTTCTTTTCACGCACAGCTCCGAGGTGGCCACGGGTTTACAGATCACAGAGCGCATGGTCTGCACCTCGGAGTTCCTGGGGTTCTAAATCCGCGCTGCTGCCCGTTATTACACCGGGTTCTCAAGTGTAGCGAGTCGATGGTCTAAGATCAGTCACCCGTGCCTGCACTTAATTCGATTAATTTCAGCGCTGAGAATAAAAAAATAGGTGTTCCTGGCTGGTGAGGACAATTACTAATACAAGGAGTGGGTGGGAAGGTACTACGGGTCGACTACGTGAACCAGGTCACTTGGAGGAATCTCAGAGGTAACTCTGTGAACTCCCTTTCTGTGGATCGTTCTCCAGCGGGAAGAGGTGGCACTCCCTTGCGAGACATTCGAATGGATTCTTCTCATGGCACAACACCGATTGCGCAATCGGGATAGCAATGATATATTTTATCGTATTAAATAGTATAGTGAAAAAAAGGGCAGATGTCAAGTACGGGCGAAAATTATCAGTGGGGGGAACTTTGTTTTGTCCTGATGAATGCATCTCGAGAGAAGATATCCAATGACGCTCGCCAGTTTGCAACGCCACCAACTCTCTCATCGCAAGGTGCCTAGGGGCAGGCTGAGCCATCGGACAGCCAGATAGTCTCCGATAATCCATCAGTGGAGGTGCTACCCGATGCTCTCTGCCAACTGATATCTGAAATCCTATCTTCCAGCGACAGCTTTAAGTTAATGCTTGTGCTTACATTTCCTATACTTTATACTCTTGTCGTGTTTTTTGTATTGTTTGTTGTTGTTACTTTCTGACCCTGTGGCCCCTACTGGACATCTGTGAAAAAGAGCTGTATTGCTCATCGGAATCATCCTGGGGTATTAACAAAATAATCTGGTTCAGATTTAGGGGTGGACAGAGGCAGGCGGAAGTGAGGAAAGTGCCCATTGTTCTGTCATGCCAGGGGATAGAACTGGCAACCTTTGGATCGCAAGTCCGGGCGCTAACCAGCTCACCGCAGCAGCACCCCCGTTATTTTAACAACAGAAATACAAATAAAGATGGTAACAAAGTTTATCAGATTTTTTTCAAACATATTTACATGTTATTATTTATCCTGATGCAACATTGGATGTGTTTCTTAGCAACATATGAATGATATTGAGTTTTGTCACGCTTTGCAGGCAATGCCGACCCAAAATACGTAGATGATGCCAAAGCGATGTATCATCAAACTATCCTGCTGCCCTGTCGGACAGAATGCCATGGACCTGTTATCGTTGATCGATGGAATATAGACATTAATGGTGTATTTGAAGACTTTGGACATTTTAATGAAAAAAACACTGGCAAGACCAAATACATTGACAACAAAAACGCTTCCCTGACCATTCAAAATCCTGAGTGGGAAGGAAAGAGATGGTACAGATGTGAATGGTCATGTAAAAATCAAGACTCTCATAACATGTATTCTGATATATCTATTCTCCTAATCAAAGGTAAGTTACGGATTATGCAATTTAACACGCCCACTTAACACAATATGCGAAGAGACATGAAACTGACCAAAAGTCACGACACATTTAATTTATTTATCTAATTAAAGTTTTCTTTGTTAATCTATTTAACTGATGCAGGTTCAATGGCACATACGCTGTAATCAATACAACTTAGTAATGCTAAGATATACGATTGTTGAAGGAGTCGATTACTCTACCGATTATCATTTCGAATACTCGACTAATCAGAAAACAGTAAAAGTTTGGAGAGAGAAAAAATATCTCACCTGTGTCCAAATGTGTGCCGCTGGACGGGAAGTGATGGGCGAGACTTGTGACGTCATTTGGCATCACCAGCATAGCTTGTCGGGAGTTTCCTGCCAAACGCCATGTGCATGTCCTCTGCACTGAAGGGCTTTGGCATGTTGAATGTTGTTTTACCTACTCTTTGGTTCTTTCGGTACAGTCACGTAGGTATAAAATCAAATTAAAATAAACAACATCACGACGTTTCGGGCGCGACACAAGTGCCCGTCATCAGGAGGAAACAACCCCAGCAATAAACAAATTGCTGAAATAGGCAAAAGGAGGCTGCTTGTGACAACGAGGTTAAATATATGTAAGAGGGGGGGGGAGGAGCCAGGGAGGAGAGATAGAGGGGGTGGGGGTGTGGGATGGGGGGAGTGGCGAAGTGCAAGCTCCAACCTGAGCCCGAGTACAACACAATGAGAAGTGCGAAGTCCAACCCAGGCCCGAGCTCGACACAATGCCGGGCTGGGAAGTGAGCGGGAATGGAGGGTTGGAGGCTGAAGAAACTGGCGATGCGGATATGAAGGCAAACTATAAATCAGATAAGGTTTTACCTTTTTAATAACATCCTTCCAATGATTTCTCAATTTGTACCCATCTTGTCGGTTGAAGTTATGTCTATGTTTATATATCTGGATGGCTTCATGAACAAACCTTTGATAGTAGCCCGAAGGTTTGCAGAGCAACTTTGTCTCGGAAAAAACGATATCCTGAGAGCCCACAGCGTTATAGCAATGGTCAGCCACGGCAGAGGTATTAATCCTGCCGTGTTTCAGATATGCCTTGTGCTCGTGAACACGGCATATGTCGGACCGTGTTCGCGAGCACAAGGCAGAACTAATACCTCCGCAGTGGCTGACCATTGCTATAACGCTTTGGGCTCTCATGATATCGTTTTTTTTTCCAATACCAAGTTGCTATGCAAGCCTTCGGGCTACTATCAAAGGTTTGTTCATGAAGCCATCCAGATATATAAACATAGACATAACTTCAACCGACAAGATGGGTACAAATTGAGTAATCATTGGAAGGATGTTATTAACCAGGTAAAACCTTAACTGCTTTATAGTTTGCCTTCATATCCGCATCACCAGTTTCTTCAGCCTCCTACCCTCCAGTCCCGCTCACTTCCCAGACCCGGCATTTTGTCGTACTCGAGCTCCGGTTGGAGCTTGCACTTCGCCACGCCCCCTACCCCACACCCCCACCCCCACTATCTCTCCTCCCTGGCTCCTCCCCCCCTCTTACGTATATATAGCCTCGTGTCACAAGCAGCCTCCTTTTGCCCATTTCAGCAATTTGTTTATTGCTGGGGTTGTTTCCACCTGATGACGGGCACTTGTGTTGCGCCCGGAACATCGTGATGTAATTTATTTTTAATTTTATTTTATGCTTACGTGACTTTACCGAAAGAACCAAAGAGTATGGATCATTGGAGTCACGAAAACATCAGATCGAGTTTTTTTACCTATTTAATTTTGAAAATTAAGGAACTTGTGAATGCTGTTGTGACTCCAGAACAAGGGTTTAAATCAGTGTGTACCACCTATTGTGACATGTGGGTTGTAAACATGGTCATGAAAAAAACAAGTGGAACAGAAGCTGAAGAGTGCACAAAAAAGCACTGAGAGATGTATACACTTGGATTTACTTTTAAAGACAGAAGGGAGAACGCATAGATTCGAGAACATACACTGGTTAGTGATGTTGTTCAAACTGTTAAGGACAGTAAGTGGACTTTGTCAGCACACGTCACGAAATGAAACTTTTATTTTTAAAAAATGTACATTTATAGGTCAACAAAGTGGATTATCATGCCTAAATTCACAGCAGACAAATTCTCTAAAGGCCTGCTGATTCCAAACACTGTAGGAAAAAAACCGGAGGACCCGGAGAAAATTTCACGCCACCACGGGGAGAGAGACACACTCCAAATATGCAGACATCAAGGTTGTGATCGAACTCACGACCTCCTGTATACTAGGCGAGGGAGTTAACATCTTGCCACCTGGGCACTGGGTGGGGCTATTTGGAGTGTGGGCCGGACGGCGTGAGTAGTGGGCAGGGCTACGTGAGCAGTGGGTGGAGGTGGAGAAGAGAGTGTGGCCAATATCAGAAAGGGTCAATCACTGTGTGGGTGGGGCTAGTGGGTGAGTAGGCATGGCTCTTGAAAAGTGGGCGGGGCTGATGGAGGGGCTGCCGGCCCACCAAGTGTCTGAGTTGAGCTTCGCAGACATTTGGGCGCCTGAGACAAAGGGACACTCGGAGTTTGATTATTCAAGCAATGTTGGTGAAATGTGCTTATGTATGTCTGCAGATGTTAAGACGAACAACAATATCGGTGCTAAAGTTGGTGAAAAGATCTCGATTCCCTGCCGAGGCAAATCTGAAAGCAGAATCATTGGAAGCGTTGAATGGCACTTTGCTCTACCAAGACAACCATACTACTCCGTCAACACCGTCAGTGGAAGAAAACACTCCATCGATGATAACAAATCACTTCTCATTCACAATCTCCAGAAGAAAGATGCAGGATTTTACCTGTGTGAGCTGAAGAATGTCAAGGATTTCTACGAGACGAAAGTCAACATAATCCGAGGTAATGCATGAAAATGAAGCTACATTACGACACGTGGACACAGCTTTAGGTTACGAATGATTCCGAAACGTTTTTCTACGCTTTTCAGACTTCAGCAATAATATTTAAAAAATCATAGCGGAGTGTAAATCCACAAGTTTCCTGTTACACTTCTTCGCAAGTGAAACACAAACGTGCTAGCCATCGCCTTTGGTGGAACCAAGACTCAAAAATGTCAAACGTCACGCAAATGCCCCAACTGACACAATTGTGAGTGCATGCTTACGGTCATGGTTTCCACCATATGGAGATAATACGATCCATTATACAGTAGGAGATACACATTAATTATATTGTGTTGCAAAAATATCGTTACGTCGTGGTTATTGTGTCTCAATTGTCTGCAATTGTAAATAAGCTATTCATTTATCATTCTGCTTCGTGGAACTTTTTTTGTAACGTAAATAATTTATAGTGTTCGGAATAAATGTTATTTATTTTGCGCGGAATACAAAGTACGTGAGTCGTAGAGATGATAGATTGTAAAGTTGGCATGAAAAGACTTGTGGCCGGCTTGTGTTTAGTGAACTGCAGTTGGGGATCATTCACGTCACGAAGTAAATCTCATCCGTGCCGGAAGTCGAGACAGGCATGAAAAATGCAATAAAATGTTAAATATATTTACAAAGTTACAAGACACTATATCATTATAATTGTCACATCGTGAACGTTGTTGAAACTGCAAACCTACTCATGAGTGGCAAATTGTCATTAGCTGGATTTACGACGTCGACATACATGAACCAATTGTGCGAGAGGAGGCGCTTACATCCAATAGGCAATGGAATCCAGCCTCACCCACTTCAACACCCAAGGCAATTTAAACTCGAATCTATGAACAAAAAGTCATAATACCCAAATAATGTAGCAAATACCTTTGTCCATCGCCAACCCCTCAATGTACCACGAAGCACGCTACACTCACCTGACACTCACCTGACACTCACCTGACACTCACCTGCACCTTTAAACTTATCGATGCAACCTGTGTTGAAATTGTTTAAACAATAGCGCTCCAAGAGATTTATGTGAAGCACAATTACTACAACACGAACAACAAAACAATTCAGACCTTTGCCAATCTGCTGCTGGATGAAGGCCACCGCGCACCGTGTGATCGTGGGTAAAGTTTGATCATACTTCACCACGCTGGTTAGTGTGGGTCTTGAAGCAGAGAGGCCCACGGCTGACTGAGAAATTGCTTATCCCTGATCTTATGTATGGCTGGCAAAGGAACTTGGGCTACGCGGTTCATTGCCCAGTGTTCTATCCATCGTACCGCCATTGTCACACCGCCCTTTAAATCGTTCCGGTTTTCAAGAAGTGTTCAGATCGTTGCTAAGCCGTAGCGCTTCCACCAAAGTAGAAGACATGCACTGCACACTGCACAAACCAAGGCGAGTGCCACAACTGGATTAAGATCATGACATGTTTCAACATGACATTTAAAATATATTATGCAATAGATCGTCCACCCGCCGCCACAACGTCAACTCTCGCTTCCCCCACGACTACAGCAAACGCAGGTGATTCTATGCCTTTAATGAGTAAACTTTACACATTTTAGTATTCATAATAGTATGGTGTTTGAAAAAGAAATACCCAGAGGAATATCATCATGATCATCATTAATCGTGTTATATCCATTGCTGGATGAATGTCTTCCCAAATTGTCGTTACTTTCCCAATAATAATTCAAATGTATAATGCGCATTCCATATAAGGATCCAAATGTGCAATTGTAGTGGGTTCCACGGAGACTGGAGACATAGTCTTTAGAGGCAACACGGTTTATTTGAATCTCAAACAGGAAGCCCCCTTTTACTCCCACTACCTGGGGAGGAATGACCTCCGGGCTGACGTGCCCTATCACTGGGGCTGCGGGCTCTGAGTCCTCCGGCTAAGGGTGACCTCGGGGAGGCTACGCTGACCCGACCCAGCCAAGGTGCGGGTCTCGACCGTGCTCGGCCCCGGCCCTTAAAAGGACGTCGGGTCCTGGGATCCCAGGGTCCTAGCCTGGCTGGCCTTCTGTCTTCATCTTCAGAGCACTGCCTCGAGCCGTCCTGGGGTCCGTCTTTTAGACACCCCTCGGGGACTCTCCGCCCCCGGTACCGCCCCCTTTCTAGAACTTTCCAGGGGACTCTAGAATAACCCCTCGCCTGGGGTCAGGGGGAGAACTGGGCCTCCCAACGGTCCGGCTCTCTCTTTCTCTCTCTAACCCAGGGTGGCACCCCCTATAGACCCGTGCCCGCAACTACAGGTAAGTATACGGCGGTGTGTGCTATATATTTCCGATGCTACACAATGCATGAGAAGCAGGATACAAAAACCGAATAAGGGCAACCGCCGGAACTAAAGAGGGAAGGCCAATTTAAAGAGATGGGTTTTCAAAAAAGGACTTACATATATCTACCGAGGACTCGAGATGCCACAATCCATCTCGTATCACACATTAGCTAACCTTATAGTTCCACCTCCGTGCTGGATAATCTTATTAGGTACGGTCAATGATGGGTGACCCCTTTCGTCGATTTTGTCCATTGGCAATCAGTCCTTCGACCTTAAATCACGACGAGGTCTCGGAATTTTTTTATGCGATCCGCACGTTTCCACTGTGTCTCAATGAAATTCCCAGCACTCGCCTCGTCGTTGCCTAGTGTTCAGTGTCTGCTCCATTGTACTCATCAGTGTCCATCTCAGGCTTCATGATGATAATCCTACTTTCATTTTATATAGGGGCGGCATTCGTGCTAACAGCATCCCCACAACGTTTTGATATTACTGTATTGGATATGGCAAATGGATCGAGCACATTGACAGTGACGAAGAAAACGTAGGAATACATTACGCGTAAAACAAACGCCGTGCTCTTCTTCGGTAAAGTCACGTAGAATGAGAACAAAACAATACATTCATAAAATAACACAATAAAATTCTCACGACGTTTCGGCCACAACACAAGTGGCCGAAACGTCGTGAGAATTTTATTGTTATTTTATTTTATTAATTTATTATTTTATTCTCATTCTACGTGACTTGACCGAAAGAACCAAAGAAGATGAATCCTTGCAGTCACGAAAGCTTTAAATCGAAATTTGAACGCCGTGCTGTATAATATTAAAACCCTTGATCCGACTGCTGGACAAAGGCCTCTGTATTCCACGTCAACGTGGTGGTCGCTTGAGTAGACTTCGCCGCGGAGATCAGCGCGGGTTCGTGACGGTCCCGGTTGGGACGTCGCTCGCCGCTGATGTTAGCCGTGGTTGAAATGTCCCACTCGTCTTCCCGGTTTCATCACAACCCGGTGCTCTGACAAATTGGTCCGCCGATATTGTACACTACCCCCCCCCCCCCTTAAAAACAAAAAGTGACCGTAATCAATGCTCAGATGGTTCTTAACTATAATTCTTGAGCCAATATAGAGCCAGTATAGAGTATGTATAGAGTATGTATAGAGTATAGAGTAAGTGTAGAGTATGTATAGAGTATGTATAGAGTATGTATAGAGTATAGAGTAAGTGTAGAGTATGTATAGAGTATGTATAGAGTATGTATAGAGTATAGAGTAAGTGTAGAGTATGTATAGAGTATGTATAGAGTATGTATAGAGTATGTATAGAGTATGTGGTTGTTCTAGGGCGCCTACGGCCACGTTGCCCTTGTAAGGGCCGGGACTCTGTGTGGCTCAGTGGTGAGACCCTGGGAACCCCCGGCCCGACGTCCTTGTGAGGCCCGGGTCCGAGCGGGTCAGTGGTCGGGTTAGAGTAGCCTCCCCTAGGCACCCACAGCCGGAGGACCCAGAGTAGTTGTCCCGTGTTAGAGCACGTTAGCCCGGAGACAGCACCTCCCCAGGCAGTGGGTATAGAAGGGCCATTGCCCTGAGTGAGCCGGGGCTGTATTGCCGTGTATTGTGAATAAAAGTGTTGCCTTCAAGATCATTCTCCGACGTCTCCAGACATGGGCTGTAGGCTGCATATGCCAGAAGCAGCACTGCAACAGGACTTAGACCGTGACGTGTGTTGATTATTATGATTAATTATTATTGTGATATTTAAAACTATTATGCGTCGAAATAGTCTCATCCACGGTGTCTGAATGGTAAGAAACAGCGCAAAGGAAAAACATCATTATCAGCCTTGTTCAAAGTATCCACTGCTGGATGAAGGGCCTTCCCACGTTATCATTACTGCCCCAAGGCCCCAAAGATGCCACAATTCGTCTCGCCTCACGCACGAGCTGATCTCATCGGCCCCCATCCTCTGGTGCATTGACCTCGCAGTACCACGGTGACCGATGTGTCGTCAGTCGTGTCCACTGGCAGCAAAAAATTCCATCATAAGTCACGACGACGTCCGTAAACGTGTTGGTGCTCCGATCCACGCGCGTCCTCTTTGTGTCAGTGGAATTGCCAGCATTCGCCCTCTCTGCACGATTCATTATGAATCGCGAGTGTATATAATGAATTACTTAAAATTAAATTAATAAAGATGTCCAGTTTGGGCGGGGGGGGGCGTTACCCACCCCCGCCTCCCCCCGTCATGCCCCCCGCAAAAACTCCGTCCACCACTGCAGGAAATCATTGAAGAACTGAATAAAGTGAGAGTTGTGAAGTCGGGACACATATGAGCAAAAGGAGAGCAATGTTGCAACAAGCTCACTGATAGATTAAAACAATCTAGATTTGAAGTTTTCATGACCATAGGGATCCATACTTTTTGGTTCTTTCTGTAAAGTGGGACAACTCACCCGATGATGGACGTGACTTTACCGAAAGAACCAAAGATTAAAACAAGCTTATTGCTGTAAGGACGCTACGCTGGACAAAGCAGAGTGGATAATGCATGTCTATGGATAATTGTTGAAGGAGTGGAGTCAAATTAATGAATTGGTGGCCAGTAAGAGCGGGTTGCTCTCCTTTCGAAGAACTAGATTTAATAAGTAAAATCAAAATACTCATGCATCCACAAGACAACGTCATAATATCTGCTATGATATGAATCGAAGCTACAGACACTGACAACGAGAGTTAAATAATATGAGAACTATACTCTTTGTTTTTTTCGGTAAAGTCACGTAGGTAAAATAAAATAAATGAAAACAACAAATGAATGAAAACGACTGTTTTCATTTATTTTATTTTACCTACGTGACTTTACCGAAAAAAACAAACAAAGAGTATGAATCATTGCAGTCACGAAAGCTTCAAATCTAGAATATGAGAACTCTCTAGCCCATGTCGTTATCGGGGCTGTTTCACCACACGTTACGATGCTGGTCAGTGCGCATTGATAAAGGGGACAGCGTTGATGTTCGCTTTGGCCATGAATCGGAGCCAAAGGAACTGGGTTCATGGCGCAGTGTGATAACCACCGCACTATCAGTTCAACCCATATTGCACACAATGGGCCAGATTTGACGCCTTCACATACTGGCCACTCATGATGATGGAGACATTCCGAAATGTGCATTTAAAAACTACAGGCAATGGTAACATTCACCAGCAAGTAATGGGCGGCGATGCGGCCGAGTGAGAGCACGTTTGGTACGGGTGGCCGCACTGGTTTAATACTGGGGGTGTATCGTCCATCAATACACGCGCTGTCCATTTCACCCTGAGCGTGAAAGATGCCTTGGCGCTTGTCTGAAAACGAGTCGAGCTGCGTGCGCTGGCATCACGGTCTAAAATATTTTGTATTTATCTAAGTCACCTAATGAGTTAAACCACACATGAACGTCTCTCCCCTTTACTGAACAAGCCGTGTAATAGTCTGAGTAACATAGTTGCCTTCTTGATGTCTTGCACGATAAGAAACAGCGCGAATGCCAAGTGTCCTAAGTGAGTGAATCGGTCCCAAAACCTACAACGCATTTGGACCCCAATTCACGCGTTTGCCGAAGCGCTGTACCAGTGTCGCAGGTGCTGTGGTGCTGACTTTCACAGCTTTCACAGGCGCAGCACACACACACACACAGCTCGAGTTAAGATCTGCCCCTCTTTGCAGGACCATCTGGGGTGAACCTCACCCCGGTGTACATCGCCGTGTCGGTGGTCGTGTGCACAGCGATCGCGTGCGGGGCTGTCTGCTTCGCCCGGAAGCAATGGAAGATCAGGGTCAGTGTCTCGTTCATTCGCAAAGCCACTCACGCTCACGTGGACGTATTGCGATGAAGCTGAAGGTCGAGAGAGGGTCCTGCAATACTCACGCCACTGTCTAGAGGTTGCTCGAGAGAACCGTTCAAGGGTATTTTGACCCCACTCTTGGTTCGTTGTGGGAATGCTCACACGTGACTCCGCCGCGCAGAAAACTGCCATTCAGAATCTTTATTTATACTGGCAGGAGGAATCCGATGAGCTACAAAGTAATTCTTTGGCAGCCTCCTCTTTTGCCATCTGAACAGCAACAACAACATCGACAACAACAACAATGTACGGCAAGTGACGTGCCCAGCTTCAACATCATAGCGAGCAACGTAAACAAAAACCCAGTTCTTTGGAGGTGGCTCTGAGGTCGGAGCACAGAGACTCGGTTCTAATCCAGGTTTCGGTCCACCTGTGATTAAAATTGGGTTCTCAAGGTGTTGTGAGTTGATGATTTCAGCCACACAAAAAGCTGTTACGGTACATTTAGTTCCATAATTATATTGGTAAAATTCCATCTCTGAGATTTCAAAAAGTCGATTTGACCGTCATCGTGGGCATTACTATCATATGCAGAATGGGTGGGAAAGTGCCACCCTCCACTTTGTGGTCCATAGGCCACTTAAAAATATTTATTTATACTGCAGGAGGAATCCGATGAGCTATGAAGCTCTTTTTCACAGATGTCCAGGAGGGGCACGGGGACAGAACGTTACAACAACAGACAATACAAAAACGCTATAGGAGTGAAAAGTATAGGAAATATAAACAAACCAATAAAAAGATATACAAATAGCATATTTTAGTTTATCTTACCAGGTAAAGCCCACTGAGGTATGAACTTAATTTTCAACTGCCGGGTGTTGATAGGCGAGACATGACTGCCATCGTATCATGGTTAGCACACGAGAATGACAATCCCGAGGTCGTCATTTAAACATGTCCCGGCATAACAAATTCGCAAATGTCATAAATTCCTCACCTCTATCAACACTGAAGTACAAAATGGTAAAAATCGCAGTTAGTCGATTGGCGGTTAACGTGTGGTGGGGGTGTTGTGTGTGTATTTCCACCTCTTTCAAAATGAAGGGCAGCATGTCTCGAACTCCCTCTCGTAGACGCTCTTTCCCCAACAGTGGCGTGAGCAAAGATATGTCAGGGCACCACCTTCGACTTTACCTTAAATCTGTATGGCGTGGAAAACCGCATTCTAACATTGTATTCAGAAAGTGTTTTTTATCGTATTGCCAGGTAAGGCCCACTGATCTATAGAACTATTTTTCAGAAGCGACCTGGGCGGGGCTACCAGAATAGTGGGCGGGGCTACCTGGGCAGTGGACGTGGCCACTCCCTGTAGATGGAGGGGGTAGTGGTTGAGTGGGCATGGTTTTGTGAAAGTGGGCAGGGCTGATGATGACCCATCACGATTGAATCAGGATCTTTATTTATAACTGGAGGAATCCGATTAGCTATAAAGCTCTTTTTCACAGACATCTAGTGGATTGAGGCCCATTTTTTATAAATAGACGCTGATTTATATATCAATAAACACGGGGCTAAATGCGATTAAGGTTGATTGACGATATTTAAATGTGGCCCAATGTGTATGCGTATTAACACTTCGTGTTTAAACAACAGCGCGGCAACAAACCGGACTCAACCTCGAACAAAGGGAACCATGCCTACAAGTCGGTGAAAGTGCCTCCGGCTATTTACGAGTCTATCGATCCATCATCGGAACCAGAGCCGAAGCAGAAAGATCTGGAGGTATCAGTACCCACACTCTATTGCGTCACATAGGCCCATTGCAGATGTGGTGGAGCCATTAGTAATAGCTAGATCAGGGGGTAGGCAACGTGCCGCTCCAGAGCCGCACGCGGCTCTTCAAGGGACTGCTTCGTGACACGTGATTCACGTCTGCATTGCGGCTCTTGAAATAGTTGAGTTTTTGTTACCGAATTCGAAACGAAGATGCCTCTGCTTGTTATCTCGGTTGTCGACCCCTGTGCTATATGGACATAACTGGGGAGGGGGGGGGGTTAAGATACTCGACGGTTCTTTCAAATGCCGCCCCGGGAGATCGAATTGAACCAGCGCTTTCCAGACACAAAGTCCAGTGTATTAATGAATTCCATATTGGCAGCATTCACCATGTGGTGTACCATAAGACTAACTGTACACTGTATACACTATAAACACTAATAATTACTTAAACACGAGAAAGCTGACATTTGAATAATATTCAAAGCTTGCTGCTATTTTTATTAGCAATCAAACCTTATCAGCCAAAACTGCACACTCAAAAATGACTAGTCACCCCATAATTATCCAGGACAATGAAGGGAAGGAGTGGCCAAGAGAAATAATTCATGAATTATTAAAACAAAACTCTGTAATTTAAGGTATTGAAATATACATAGTATTACTATTTTTATTTACATAGTATAATGTGAAAATATACAATGGGTCATCTGCGTTTTTGTCTCTTAAACGTTATCCATTTCTTTGCCGACGTTGTGTGGTCACGTGGGCATTCATAAACCGACCCCCTGAAAAGCGAGCTACCAATAATATATATTTCAATTAAACCAACTCGCGCACTCGAGTGTTGAACTTCTTTCACATGGTACGTAGGTAAACCATGCTCATTGGAGGTGCGGGGTCCTGGACAACAAACTAAACAACAAGAAGCAGTTCTAAAGGAATGAATTTATCAATCTTGATGATGATTTAAAAGCTCATAGCTTCCAGTGGCATCCGAATATCGGAAGGGAGAGCATTCCAGACGGCCGCAGAAGCGCATCTGAAAGCGCAACACAATGATGCGGTGACCGCCGCCTTTGTTCGACGGCTGAGCCAAAAGCCGCTGCTGCCAGGATGACCGAAGTTCCCGTGATGGTTTAAGCTCCTTGACCAAACGCCAAGGAGCATGAACGCCTGAATGATCGCAAATAATTCGCAATACAGATAACCCGGCTGCAGATAAATAACATGTGCATTCCAACAAATATTTAATTCTATAGTATACCATTATTCTAGATTTGAAGTTTTCGTGACTGCAAAGATCCATACTCTTGGTTCTTTCGGTAAAGTCATACACCTTTACTGTAACTCTAAAACCTCAACAATATAGCGCTATATTCTATATCACTTATATATGTGTAGTGTTCGATTTCACTCGGACAACGGTTGTCTTTCTTCGAACACCACTTTATTTACAACTCTCAGCATGTCCTCAGTATTTTACAGTATCCATGTCGCCACGGCTCGCTCGCCACCTTTGTCTCTCCACTTCCCACGATTACTTCGCTTACTCCGCCGCTAACTTCTTCGTCTCCGCTCTCTGCTATCACCGTCGCTATGCTCTCTCCACTGCTAACTACTTCGTCTCTGTTCACCGCTATCACCGTCACTATGCTCACTCCACTGCTAACTACTTCGTCTCTGCTCTCCGCTATCACCGTCACTATGCTCTCTCCACCTTCAACTTCCTCACTCAGTGACTCCACACTCAGCGACTCCGCACTCAGCAACTCCGCACACAGCGTCTTCACACACAGCGTCTTCGCACACAGCGTCTTCGCACACAGCGTCTTCGCACACAGCGACTCCGCACACAGCGTCTTCGCACACAGCGTCTTCGCACACAGCGACTTCGCACACAGCAACTCCGCACTCAGCAACTCCGCACACAGCGTCTTCACGCACAGCATTTTCGCACACAGCGACTTCGCACACAGCGACTCCGCACACAGCGACTTCACACACAGCGTCTTTGCACTCGACAACTCCACTCTTCAACTCTTCACTCCAACTCTCCCAAGCTCTCCAACTTCAACCCATCTCCAAGCTCAACTCCCTTCAACTCAACTCCCCTCTGTTGACTCCGACTCCCGCTCTTATACCCGCTCTCATTACACCCCCAATTAATTAACCCGCGTCCCAACGGCACTCCACGTGACCGTCACCTGTTTCTCGCCAGACTTCCAGACGCCTCTCCAGCCCCGGCAACAGCACCAACCAATCACAGCCGTCCACGGCTACCCCAGCTTAATTGCCCCAACGTAACCTGCACTGTATTTGCCTTCACTACAGACTGACCCAAGATAACCCGTACTGTCTGTATGATCGTGTAATCATGCTGTTTGTGCTACGCACCTTCCTACTCCACTACATATGTATAAATTGAGTTGGCTATTGTAAGGGCCAGATGCAAATCTTGACCAATCAGTCGGAACACATTTCACTGGAAATTACCCCACTGTTGATGACTTAGGCAAATGCATTTTTTTCACAAAGCATTTCACAAAAATGAAATTGCCACCACTACCACACGAACCTGGCTCTAAATTTACACATTCACTGCCGTGACCAGAAGATTTAGCGAAATCAGCATATCGTGCTTCTATATTTAAAAACAAACGTTCTGACCGTGCTCTTTGACCCCCACGATACGGGCAGTGGGGCGAGGTTACCCGAGTGGTGGATGGAGTTGACCTTTTAGTAGTGGGTGGAGTCAACGTGCGCTAGGCGGCACTGGTGGGTGAGTGGGCGTGGCCATGTGAAAGCAGGCGGGGCCAACGGAGGGAGAGGTGCCTCCCAGAAATATTGCAGCCTTATATGGAGCCACGTTTATGCGCTGGCGAGTGTGCATTTGACACACGCATTTTTTTGTTTTAGTGAAAATATATTGATGTCTGATTAGCAAATGCAAGGAGGGGGCGGGGGGGAAATATGTTTCGGCTGCTTCTTCTTAAATTAAGCCCAACGTGTATGCCTATTAACGCCGCCACCAACGTGTTGTTTTCCAACAGAGGAGCAAAAATCAGCGCTCGAACACAAACGGCGCGGACCGCGCCAGGAGTTCGGCGGACGTCCCTCCGATTGTTTACGACACTGTCGGGGCGGCGCAACCGGAAGCTGCGCTGACATGCGCAGACGTCACAATCAATGGTAACGCCCTCTCTCTGTCTCTCTCTCTCTACAACGGTGGTTCTTCTTCTTAGCCTGGGATGCACGCACGCCCGGATGGGTGCCAGATGCCCTTTCTGGGGGGGGGGAGGCGTGCGAGACATGGCCAGATTTTTTTTGGAAGGTAAATAATCGAAACACGAATTGAGCATGGGCACGTAGGTGCAACTTTGTTCCACCAAACCTACGTAGCTACCAGGGACGTGCGGTCAGGGGAGGCAGAGCTTCACCTGTCATACTCCAATGAAAATAGATGTTAAGGAAAGTAAAAAAAAAGAATAATCAAATAAAATCTGTGTTATAAATGTCATTTCTGTACGATTCCAATCATTTTTATGGTCAAAATCGCCAAATTTCCGGAGCTCCGCTGCAAATACAGGGAGAGACGAGAGGTGAGGCAGCGACGAGCTCAGCCTCCCCTCTGATTGCGCAACCCCTCAGTAAATGGATGGAGCACGGGCAATAAGCGCGTGCCTGTTACTATCTCAGTATGTCACCAATGTCATGTTTTTAGACCCCTTCATTTCATGTCCTCGCCTTCCATACTCCAGGTAACTTATTTCATGTACGTGTATAAAGATATTTAGGCTCGCTGGTCTCGTCATGAAACTACAATGAAAAAGCACCAGGGGAGGCAGCTATCACATCTGCCTCACTCAGTGAGGTTACGCCCCCCTCCGCGAGGCCACGCCCCCCTCAGTGTGTGAATCTGGTTCTGACACGAGCCAGTGCCACCCCAGCTATTGACCTCACCGCACGTCACTGGTAGTTACAAACATTATACTGTACATGTTACAAACATTATACTGTACATGTTTTTCAATGATTGAGAACTAAAGGGGTACAAGGCTGCAATAAAGGTGAAGAACCACTGGTCTACAATATGAACAAAGCTCTCAAATTCCAGTGAGAGTTATGAGAGAATATCTCAGCAATACCAGTACAGCTTACCACATTGCCAGTAAGGCTGTTAATTTGCCTTGTCAGGTTAACTACATTGCGAGTAAGCTTCTACGTAACGAGCAATGATTCATTTCGGTGTCAGCTATCGGCAAGCCCTTTGTCAATCGGCTGCTGGATGGGAAGTTATTTAACCATACTTCACCACACGGGTCACTGTGGGTTGGTGAGGATGCAGCTGTCCCATCAGATGTGACAACCGCCTGTTTATACACATATATAACATATCTAAAGATCTATTTTTTGAAAATGTTCTCAGTTCTAAAACATGGAACACGTAAAACATTATTTTGCACATATATGTGCATGCAGAGATAGAAAACTAAAAAATGTTCACAAATGTAGAGTGTTCCGAATCAAGCGATCAATTTCCTCTTTGCTACCGGAAAGCCCTTCAGGACCTGCGCGGCTTGTTGCTAGATAAGGAACTTACTTTTTGCATCTAAAAAAAAAGGAATTTCAGATTCTACGAAAACAATGTGTCAGGAAGCTCAGCGGTAGAAAAAAAACACCTCACAATTGAAAGGACATGAGTTCAAGTCCAGATGGGAGGGTTGACTCGGCCCATTCTCTCTCTGCAGTCGTTAATGGGAGTATCAACGTATAGTTGGTTAAGGGGAGACCCTCCTCCCACCATAGGAATGTGGAATTCCCACCGCTGGATCAGCTCTGTAAACGGAACATGTTGCACCGCTCAATGCTCATTTAAGCCGGAAATTAATTTTTACTTCATGCACAGGGACTCCTCTTACTTGCAGTCGTGGTGGCGAAATGTTAACTACCTCGCCAGGTGTACAGGAGGTCGTGGGTACGATCTCGACCCTGATGCCCACTGTATAATCGGAGCTTGTGTGTTCTCCCCGTGCTCGCGTGGATTTTTCTCCGGGCACTCAGGTTTTTCCCTCCACATCCGTTAACAACACGCGTTTACAGTATTTGGCTGCTTGTACATTTCCCCACGATAAGCCACTTCGGTGAGCTGTCATTTGTGGCCAGGTCGTTTCTGAAAAAATATCGGTATAGTTCAGTGATGAAACAAAAAAATAGGATTAAAATAGTAAAATATTAAGACATATATAGTAATCCTGTTATCCGCAGCGCAGGATTATTTGTAATGTACACTTATCCATCGGCGGCAAACATTGAAGTTAACCTGCGGATCGTATGATGAATTTGCCTCTCGACTTATGCGCAGCAACAACTACAAATCGCGGATAATAGGAGTGACAATGACATTATACCCATTAACGACGGACAACCTAGGGGCATATTGGGATTAATATATATTTTTTACACGCGACCCCTTTCATTCGCAAAAAGCAGAGCGAGTGGGTTGGTCATCAATGCAAGCAACTATCCCAGATCAATTTATTACTTTATTCTCATTCTACGTGACTTTACCGAAATAACCAAAGAAGATGAATCCTTGCAGTCACGAAAGTTTTAAATCGAAACTATCCCAGACTCAACCCTCTTTAGCTTCCGAAATCTGGCGAAAGTGGGCACATTTTAGTAAACGATTCTTCAAATATATGTAATATTTATTTTAACTCGTAGGCTTTCGCGACCAATATCATCCATAATAGAGTTGTTTTGGGTTAGATCGCTTAAATATATAAATGTGTCGTTAAACCCGCCACCACCCACTCAGATTGTAAATGTGTCTTGGCTCTCCAACACACAACGGGTGTGCTGTACTAGTGACGCATTGGCCACGTTCTGTTTACGTGACAACCCTTACTAGTTGGCTGGTGGCGGGTTTAACAACACGTTTATAAATTTACGCGATCTAACCCAAAACACCTCTATCATATATAACATTTATGTTTACTCTGAGTGTCTGCTGCTGCTGCTGCTGTGTCCTGTACAGCGCTTTGAGATCCATAATGAAAAGTGACATATAAATGTAATTATATGTATGTTTGCACAACACTGTGTACATCAGTAAAATATCGGACTCATTTATAATCGTACAATTTGGATTTGCGGTTGAGTGTTGATCATTCTACGACAGCCTTGTGACATTGTATTTTATATTTTGTTTAATAACATGTGTATTAATGATTCTGTTTGACCACACACATATATACTGGAGAGTGGGGCAAGAGTGTTGTGTTACGTGCAACACCAGTCTTTTACACACACACACAAAATCCGCATCAATTTATTTTTTATTCGATGATAAACATCGCTCTTAAAATGTTCCATTGCTCTTTCCCGCAAATAGTGAACACATAAATAATCAGATCGCACGTTGAAACAGCGGCGATGTTTTCGTTCCGATCTTTTAGCGGTCACGTCGATGTCTTCATCGCAAATATCGAGTGTTCAGCATTTTGATGTTTTTTTTCTTCAATGTCCAATCCCTAAGTGCTAAGTATATATAAAAGAGACTAATGCCCCGTAAAAAAAAATGCACTAAATACACGTTCATTTTAAAGGGGATACGTGCATACAATTGGGCGTGTAAGATGTATTTTCAATGTATGCGAATTATACGCTGTTACATTTTGGTTTTAAAGGGAGGGGTGGGCCAAAAAAACAAACCTCACACCTCCACGCACGAGCATTGCTTTTAAACGACACGAACAAGAATGAACTATAACCTGAAACGTCTCATTTTCATTTCCAGATTTCGATGTAACTTACAGCGTCCCCTATAAATCAGCAGCTAGTGAGGTAAGCAATTACGCCAATTGTAAACAGTCTCGTAAGCATTAGGCGGGCTGTAGCGGGCTAAACATGCTCCCCAGCCCCCCCCCCCCCTTATGAATATTATGCCCCCCCCTTAGGGGTGCCACGCTGGCGAGATGTTAACTACCTCGCCGGGTAGGCAAGAGGTCGTGGGTTCGATCCCGGCCATGACGCTTGCTGCTGTATTATTTGGAGTTTGCGTGTCTCTCTCTCTGATCATCATCATCATCACGGTGGCTAAGAGATGTTAACTACCTCGCCTGGTATGCAAGAGGTCGTGGGTTCGATCCCGGCCATGACGCCTGCTGCTGTATTATTTGGAGTTTGCGTGTCTCTCTCTCTGATCATCATCACGGTGGCTAAGAGATGTTAACTACCTCGCCTGGTATGCAAGAGGTCGTGGGTTCGATCCCGGCCATGACGCCTGCTGCTGTATTATTTGGAGTTTGCGTGTCTCTCTCCCCGTGGTCGAGTGGATTTGTTTTTTTTTCCTTTCCCGGGTGCTCCGGTTTTTTTCTTTCCACATTTAGAAATCAAAATCACCCGTTTAAGAGTCTTTGGCCGCAATACATGTCCACACGATCAGCCACTTCGGTGGGCAATCATTCGTGAAAGCCAGGTCGCTTCTGTAAAAAGAGCTACATTGCTCAGTGGGCCTTACCTGGTAACAACAGACATCTTCTAAAATATCGTTTCATAGTTTTATTTACCTTGTCGGGTTCTCTACATTGCGAGTAAGCTTCTACGTTGCGAGTAATGATCTCTTGCGGTGTCAGCTATCGGCACGCCGTTTGTCAATCGGCTGCTGGATGGGAAGTTATTTAACCATACTTCACCACACGGGTCACTGTGGGTTGGTGAGGATGCAGCTGATTTCACCCTTTCTGTTGGTACAACCTTTCCCCATATACGCAGGGAATAAAGGCTTGAGCAAAATGTACAAATACCGTCGACACAAGCAGATGGCATTATTTTTTGTAACTCATTCTGTTGAGCGCTTAACGTTTGTTAAAAATTAGTTTAAACATTGACTGCATGCGCGTTTTCCTATATACACATGCCTTCTTTAAATGAGTTAGTTTTGGGGAAATGTGTAAACGTACTATTTATTTTTCCTACTTTACTTCATCAGAGGATGCTGCGGTGGTATAATGGTGAACACACACTGTACAGCACTTGCAATCCAGAGGTTACCACCCAGTAAAAGTGCTCCATTTGGTGGAGAATTGACTCACCGTGAAGTAACGTACACGCACTTATTACGTTTTTGCAAAAATGGTACCGTTCATTACTATATTACAGGTAAGTATAACACTTTAATTAAAATATAAGACAAAATAAACAGTTGTACTTATCAATATTCTCTGTAGTTTTATTGCCAGAAAGGGTAAAACCTATTCTTATTTTTCATACTTTGATATTGCCCAAAAGGTCCCATAGATGGTCGAGTTATCATGCGTGGCTGTCGCTTCTGAATAAGAAGGTAATAGCTCAGTCAGCTTTAAATGGTAAGATAAAACATAGTTTAGTTCTAATCTTGATTTGAAGCTTTCGTGACTGCAGGAATCCATACTCTTTGGTTCTTTCGGTAAAGTCACGTAGGCAGAAAATAAAATAAATCACGACGTTTCGATCGCAACACAAGCGGTCGTCCTCAGGCGGAAATTTCTCCGAGATGGAATTGAACCAATTTAATTATGGAACCAAATGTAACGTAAGTTTTTTTTTTGTGGCTGAAACCAAGGCCTTAATTATAATATATTCGGGGGTGACATATCCCCCCCCAATATTCAAATACTGTATGCTCAAAATGTCCCCCCCCCGATATATTGCTATAAAATAGATTTCTGTTTATATGATTGTGTATTCTTAGCTCTTTCGGTAAAGTCACGTTGAAGGGAAACAATAAAATAATACAATATATATTTTATTAGAATTACTGCAGTCACGAAAGCTTTAAATCAAAATTTATATGATTCTGGTTATGGTTGTTACTTTATTAATCCCTAATCTTTGTCATTACATACAATGAAACAAGAAAAGGTAAACAAGAAAAAACAGAGCAATGTAATACAATAACACTCTTAGACATTATTGGTTAAAAATAAATAAAAGTCCATCCTATGTGTTAGTGATTTTTTTCATATTTTAGGCAGGAAATTCGTTTTTAAAATTTAGATTTTTTTTCTGGGGGGGGGGGGGGGGGACCCCGGACCCCCTGGTAGATTTGGTCCCCCCCAATGTTGACCCCATGGCGATGGCCTTGGCTGAAACCACCAACTCACAACACCTTGAACAACCCAATCTTTCATCACAGGTGGACCGAAACATAGATTAGAACCCAGGCTGTGCTCCGACCTCAGAGCCACCTCCAGAGAATTTGGTTGTTTTTATTGGGGGGGGGGGGGGGGGTTGTTAACTCGCTCGCCGTGATGTTGAAGCTGTGCGTGTCTCTTGCCGTGCGTTGTTGTCGTTGTTTGTTCCTGGTTCAGATGCCACAAGAGACGACAGTGGCTCATTCGCCACCCAACGTCCACTACGCCGAGGTTGCCATATATTGAAAACGGAGCTGGGGGGAGATGGTTGGTGGTGGGCATGGCCACGTCTGTCCACCCACCACGCTCCGTCTTTCCGCGTTCACGAGTTTTCTCCACCACTCCAAATTAACTCGTGCCACGCCGCACGAGCGCGCCCGATGATTGTTAAACATGTGCCCACGTGACGGGCTAAGAAATTATCGTTGCGAGTAATTGTAAAAAAATAACGAGACTTCTAAAGATGATGAGGTTAAGAAAACCATCACCTCGATCACCCACTTATCAATCACACACGATCATTCGCGATGTTGTCCATATCCTTGAACAAAACCCATCCTTCACCGTATAAAACACCACAGAAATAACAAAATGATGGCTTAACTGTCGCACGCTGTGCAACGGGTGCTCTGAATGTACATGTATAGCCCATCGGTCAATTCACTGCTCGATGAGGGTCTCCTCACACTGGGCAGGCAGTGGGCATGCTTGCCGCTGGTCATTGCGGGTTGGTGAAGGTGAGCGCACGAGAGATTTCGAAAACATGTTTTAGTGGCCCCTTGACTGCCCACAACCCACCAATGGCATCGGTTTCATGCGTGGTCACCCAAATCCAAGCTATTTCCCAGCTCAAAACTCTTGCCGAGCTTACAAATGTTATGGGAATGCCTGGTGATGTCTTTACATGAACACTGCACAAAGGGTCCATTTACTTACAAGGCAATTTACAATATTATCTGGGTGCTCAATAATATTTTCAATATTAATTTACAATATCATCAATAAAATTCTGCAAATGGGAGTTTACGCAGAACTTTGCGGTGCATTGTGGCTTGCTTCCTTCACTTTAACAGTTGTGTCTGCGAATGAATGTCCAGGCACACACACCGCACAGGTTCACAACACAAATGTTGAATGTTTATTTTTGAGTAGTTAACGTGACAACGCGCTGCATAGTGGCTTCTACGATCCATGCTTGAGCGAGTGGAAATGTTTATTTCATAAAAGCATGCCGATGTTACAGAAACATACAAAAAAATCTGATTTGACTTCCATCACACTCATTGTACTTTCCGGCTATATATTTTAGTGTTATGTCTACTCGTTACGTGTTTTTTAGGATGCTTAGCATAAAGGCCTTTCGTTTTGGCAGCTTGACGCAATATGAAATGTATACAACCGACGCGATGCATATTAAGCACAGCCATTCTTGTATTCGTCAACTCTTCGATTATTTGGGGTAATTGGGGAAGAGGCCCCACCCAAAACATGGATAATGCAAAATGCATATGGAAAGTAGGTCATAAAACACAATTATACCTACGTTGAATGGGATGAAGGTGCAGTGTGTCGCGTGTTTATTGCTTCTTAAAGTAACCTGTTTACTTTGCTAACATGTTTGTGGTCACCGAATTAGTCGCAATGAGCGAGGAGCCGGTAATGTCCACGAGCCCGCGCGCAAAGTTATTCCATTTTTTTCTTCCCGCAAGCAAGGTCAAATCACAATCTCGATAATCAACCCACGGATAATCGGGAGTTAACCGTATTGTAATTGTGTTTCAATGATAAGAAACTACGTGAACACAACGGGTACAAATAAACACTGTCCCTCATAAAAGCTTGTTGTTCTCTTCTTTGGTTCTTTCGGTAAAGTCACGTAGAATGAGAAAATAACAAATTGATAAAATAAAATAACAATAATATTCTCACGACGTTTCGGCCACAACACAAGCGGCCTTCATCAGGTGAAGGGACGAGACTGTCTGGAGGACAGCGCTGGAGTGAAAGAGCCACGCTCAGATCGCGACCTTTAAGCTGTGTGAGAAGAAACAAAGCGCCTTGACAAAGGAATTAGCATAGAATTTAGCATTGAAATGGCTGAGTGATTAGCTTGTGACTGGTCACAGAAATAGCTATGTTAAAGTCAGAGAGCTGAGTGATTAGCTTGTAACTGGTCACAGAAATAGCTATGTTAAAGTCAGAGCATACACATTCACAGAGGCACCTAGTACAAATCAAACAGGAATTTTTTCAATGCTAAATTCTCCTGTTTGATTTGTGCTAGGTGCCTGTGAATGTGTATGCTCTGACTTTAACATAGCTATTTCTGTGACCAGTTACAAGCTAATCACTCAGCGATTTAAATGCTAAACTCTATGCTAATTCCTTTGTCAAGGGGTGCCTCTGCGGATGTGTATGCTTTAACTTAGCTATTTCAATGCTAAATTCTATGCTAATTCCTTTGTCAAGGGGTGCCTCTGCGGATGTGTATGCTTTAACTTTAACATAGCCATTTCTGTGACCAGTCACAAGCTAATCACTCAGCCATTTCAATGCTAAATTCTATGCTAATTCCTTTGTCAAGGCGCTTTGTTTCTTCTCACACAGCTTAAAGGTCGCGATCTGAGCGTGGCTTTTTCACTCCAGCGCTGTCCTCCAGACAGTCTCGTCCCTTCACCTGATGAAGGCCGCTTGTGTTGTGGCCGAAACGTCGTGAGAATATTATTGTTATTCTTAGTTTTTTCGGTAAAGTCACGTTGAAGAGAAACAACAAAATAACAAAATATATATAAAACAATAAAAAATTCTCACGACGTTTCGACCATAACTCAAACGGTCATCATCAGGTGTGTCGGTTTGCATAAATTTATTTTTAAAACGGCACATTTATTTATTTATAAAAAACGTTGGCGTCACGCGCAGCGATTGGCAGTTTATGTAATGTGTTGATCTGGTTCCGTCTGTAAAAGATGTGATTCCGGACATACAATACCCTGGTGTCTACAAACTAAGTTGCCTCTGTGGTAGTAGTTACATTGGAGAAACCAAACGCCATGTCTCGGACCACATTCGTGAACATAAAGCAGACCTTAAACACGGTAGGACCAACACCTCGGCCGTAGCAGATCATTGTTCTAATTCAGTAGGCTCACATGCCATTGACTTTTCCAAGACGGAGGTTCTTTGTAAGCCATCTGGCTTCTATGAGAGATTCGTTCATGAGGCTATCCACATATACAAGCACAGAGACAATTTCAACCGAGAAGATGGATTCTATCTTAGCAATCATTGGAAAGATTTGATAAATCATTTCAGTTCTTGATTGATTGTTCACGCTTACAGTGGCTTTCAGACAGCATACATTATAAAAAATTTCGTCTCCCCCCTCCTCTTTTTAAAAAAAAAATAGATGGACTAGTCCTGGGCAAACTGCCAATCGCTGCGCGTGACGCCAACGTTTTTTTTATAAATAAATAAATGTGCCGTTTAAAAAATAAATTTATGCAAACCGACACACCTGATGATGACCGTTTGAGTTATGGTTGAAACGTCGTGAGAATTTTTTATTGTTTTATATATATTTTGTTATTTTGTTGTTTCTCTTTAACGTGACTTTACCGAAAAAACTAAGAATATGAATTACTGCAGTCACGAAAGCTTTAAATCAAAATATTATTGTTATTTTATCAATTTATTATTTTATTCTCATTCTACGTGACTTTACCGAAAGAACCAAAGAAGATGAATCCTTGCAGTCACGAAAGCTTTAAATCGGAGCTTGTTTTTCCTCAATGCTCAGCCAAAGTTCAACTTGGGCGAAGAATGCAAGAAATCAATACTGACTGTACGACTCAAATGTAAATGAAATCACTTCGAGCAAAAACGTTCGTAATGGGGTGTGACATTTCACATTTCTGTGCACGAATGGCAAGTTGGTTCATCATTCAGGGGGCGCGAAACCCGTCAACCTATGGACTGCCAATGAGCCAGCAGCGTGTGCACGCGCGCGTGCCCTTCTGCTTGTTTACCAGTACCTAGCCTAAGAATACTATTCAAACAATACCACTATCACATGGTACATGGTGAGCGCTAACAAGTACGTAAATATATCGACAGCTATTTACACACACGTACACACGAGGACACACACGACTGTTCAATACAGCTCAATGTTTGAAAATTTAAACACTATTTATCTATAATACAGGTTTTTTTTTTGGGTTAGATCGCATAAATGTATCGTCCAACCCGCCACCACCCGGCACAGCCAATGAGTAAGGTTTGTCATGTAGACAGAACATGCCAATTCGTTTCTTGTACAGCACACCGGTGTTCGAGAGCCAACCACACATATTACACGATCAAACCCCCCACCAAAGTATTATAGATATTGGTCGCGGAAGTCTAGGTGTTAAACCATTTATCCGAGTGCCAAAAATGTTAATTACAAATTCATTGAATTAAAATTCGATGTCCGTTAAAGAGCTCATGGCCCATTGAGCCGCATTATTTAATTTGCAAGATAGACCTTGGGTAACCAATCGGAGATGCGTGCTGTTAACGGTACAGACCCTCGTGAATAGTGCCACGGGCTCGTAAATAAATGCACGAGACAGACTTTGGTGCGAGTTACTCTGGTTCTGTGGCTTTGTGGCGAAGATGCTTAAATCTCACTCTCGCATGGGGGAAAAGTGTACGCATGTGCATGCGTACAGTCCTTTGTCAAACCACTGCTGGATGAAGGCCTCTCCACACAGGGAAGGTGCTTTCGATGTTCAAACTAATCCCAAAATAAAATTAGAAAAGTCAGCCTGGATGTGAAATGTCAGATGGATCCCAAATAGTTTTTTTGATTGATCTGAAAATCGGAAGTGACATTACCAGCTTCGTGCTTTCCCACCAAATAGGTGTCACTTGACATTATGATGGTCACCATTGTTACCACGAAGACATTTAATGCGAGTACACAATGTGCACGGATCCAGGCATCCAAAGCAAATTGATCATTGTTCTTAAATTAAAAAAATAAGCAATATCTGAAACACCCCTACTCCCCACGCTGGTCAATGTTTGGTTAGTGAAGTCCAGGTCAGAAGCAGTTCAGATGTCACTCGCCACTGATGCAAACCATGACGGGAAATCGAATAGAACTCGTGTTGCCAGGTTGATCGTGCAGTGTGCGCCAACCACCGCATATCCAACCTAAATAACGCATTAACAAAGGATGCAACACTTCACCGTACATGCGTAGAATTGTGTGCGAGAATCCGCGGCTTACGATTCAAACTACAATACTTTGAATTAACACCATTCTAAAAACTAGGGGTCAGGAACCTATGGCCTGCAATTTTTTTTTTTTTCACACGACCGGCTGCCACACAATGCTTACCCACTTCGAAATGGCCCCCACGATTCATATCTCCGCAAGCACCACCTTAGGGAATATCGTTAAATCTAATTATGTAACGCGCCGAGTCACTTCGGTCACTCACTGGCAAGGAAGGGCCCTCGTGTACACGAGCGAGCTGCGTGTTAACAAAGTGGCAGCCCGACGGAATTTTTGAACGCCCGATTTGGCATTCAGCAAGGAAAAGGTTGCCCACCCTTGCTGTAAACACAAATGACAAACGTAAATGAATGAAATCGAATTGTGACAATTTTTTGAAGGGTGGAGAGGATAACTTGTTGCGTCTCTCATTTACACCTACAGAGTTTAAAAAGGGCATAATTTCACTGGGGAAATTGTGTTTGTGGTGGCATTATAGGAATTCGTAAGCATCTTGAAATAAAATCGTACCTGGATAGATGCTTTATAAAAACGACTTGCATTGCATTGTGAAATTACCAAAAATGAGCATTATGTAGAACTTATTACGCACCGTACGTATCCAACCGTGCTAATCTGGGGTGAAAATGCAGGAGAATAGGACTTGCATCTTCAGATACTGCAGCGCATGTAGTCACACGTTCTGTATAAAACATACTTATGCTAGATATGGGGCACTGCAGTAATAAGACTAACATTATAACTTACAAGTTACAAAATCTCATAGATCTACCTCAAAACTTTAACAAAATAAATAGTGTACACAATAATAACACGTTTAAATAATACTTTTTCAGAGTTTACCAGTTTAACAATTAAAACTGAAAGGCTGAATGGTTATGAGCACTTTTCATAATTTATAGCAACGCTTCGACGTTAAAGCACAGACTCTCATGTTCCAAGCTCAGCTTCGGCCACAGACATTCCACCTGCAGCTAGAGAGCTGCGATTATTGAGACACAGGTCTTGAGATTCCTGAAGGGAGACAGACAAAAGACACCCACACACGAATGCAATATTAATTGTTTCACAAGTGCAAGAGCAAGGCACCGTCAATCGTGCATAGCATTTATGCAACACTAGCTGTACTACCCGGCTTCGCCCGGGACTTGGATTCACCACGCCCGCCGCCTTTGTCTCCCCAGTGGCGATGTTCACACAGCAGAGCAGTAACTCGTTTGATGCCGAGTCGAGCTAGGGGAGGCCCAGGACCGGTTAAAATAATCGTCACCGATGGTGGCCGTGAGCGGGAATCGAACTCGGGTCGCCGGGTTCGTAGCGCGGCGCGCTAACCACGACACTGCAATGCGTTACGCTTCCAAAATGCGCGGGTCACGTGACAGATTTGACATCACAGCTCACTTGCCGTGCAAAAAATATATGCATTATTAAGCTCCCCCCCCCCCCCCAAAAAAAAAATAAAGTGTATTTTTTATAATTATTGCATGGTGTACAGTCTGGAAAGTACCCACATGGCAAATTTCAAGTTTGTTGCATGTTGGGAAGTACGCTAAACATTTTGAACAGACACACATAATCACAAATTTGCCTTTTTTATATATATATGGACATTATGCACACCTACATGAAATACCCCTTTTGGCACTGGCATATCCGAACCAGCATGGGGGTCCTCACAGATACACGGATTTGTTTCCCCGCTGGTTATTTGCCGTGCCGAGCCAGAACCAATTACTGTACACACACAAAAAAACCCGTGAGAATACAACGTAAATAAATAATTTTTCTCTGTGTAAGCCTATTTCCTCATGAAACATGCTTTGCTTGTAGGCATCTGAAATAAGGAACATGGAAAATAACACGCAATGATTATATTATTTCCCCATGAGGTGTTGTTCTCAGAAGTATTCATTTAGCAATGAAAAGATGAGTGCTCTGCCAAGCAAGCAGGAAGGAGTAAGTCTGTAGTTTAGCAGCTCTGCCGGGCAACCCATAAAGAACTTTTCCAGGTTTTCTCAGGGACGAGTCACCAATAGCGAAACAGCTGTGTACTGAAGTTGTATTCACATTGGGCAATTACAATCATTACCGTTGCCTCCGTGTCACAAACAGACAAGGCAAACGCAGCCGATGGAAAACGTTTTCGAACCCCGAGCTGGACAGCGTTAAAAACCCACGAGTCTATTCTTGAATTGATCCAAGCTCATCGGTGCAGTGACAACAGTTTGGTGTGTTGGCACCGTGTGAACACGGACACGACCAGACGAGGTACCTTTTCAGCTGCATCATCAGGGAGCGGTTGCTCACTCACAAAAGACGCATCTTCCTTTTCGGACAGCGAAGCATCCAGGTGCTGTGAAGAGTGACGCTAGAGTCATACAAAGCGTGCAACTTAAGCACGGTGCAACAGAGACACGAATTGCAAGCGTCCTAAAGTAGTTTCCGTGCGTCTCATGGGATCAATAGGCATGATTTTTGGGACGAAATTTTATCGCAAAAATTTTGTTCGCCCGAGCAGGCATGTTAAAGGTCTTCCTCCAAAACATACCTTACGAGTACTCATGTTCAAGTAAATTACTCGAGCCAATTTCACGTGTTAACTGAATGGCTGATAGGCATCACCTTCACGGTTTGCATTACTGCAATCGAGACGTTGACGCCTTGCTCTGCCGAAAATCGGACGAATTGGACCCAACTTTGTGTCTCCATGCACAAACAAACAACGGTTGATACTCATATTGGCGGCCTTTAGCCAATGACAACTTTCCATATATACATGTGGTGGGGATAAGGGCTAATGGAATATCATTTTTTAGGATATGATATTGATCGCCACATCAGGTTTTCATTACTCGACCAAAGCCGTGCTTATAAGTCTCAAAAACATTGAAGATGTACAATATATAGCGCTTATGCAATTTACAGAGGCAATTATGAACGTTTTTTTTTAAAGCTGTACAGAGGCCCTCTGGAGGCAGCTTTGGCCTACGAAGAGGGGAGTACCCACATTTTACTCCACCACAAGCACCTACCAATTGACTGTGGTTGCACTCGTTTATACTGTTGGGTGGACAGAGGTTTGGGATATGTAAGAAACTTGCGCCGTTGTTTCAACCGTTGCGTCGTCTGATCGAACGCGCGACCTTTTGGGGCGGTCGACGTGGCCTAGCTGTAGCGCGATCGTTTATTTTAAAACATATATAACCATTAAAACATTTTGTTTATTTTACCAAGTAAAGCCCACTGAGATATATAGCTCATTTTTAAAGGTGACGTGGCAACAAATGATAGATCAAAAAGTGGCTTATCATGTGGAAAGTTATAGCAGCCAACTAATCTAAATGCATGTTTCTAAATGTGGAGGGAAAAACCAGAGGACCACGGGGAGAATACGCCAACACCAAATATACAGGCATCAAAGGTTGGGATCACACCCACGACTTCCTGCGTCCAAGGCTAGGCAGATAACATCTCGCCACCGCGAGACCCACGGTGGAGAGATGTTATATTTTGTTGTGGAGGTTAAAGATACAAATCCAGCGGCCTCCCTGGTTATTACTGCGAGTCTATAGACCGTAATAATACGAACCACCTGACTCACACGGAACATTAAAAAAATACCGTGACGTCTTTTGCAAGAGTAAGCCCTTGCGTGCCGTGTCGTGGTCCTTACGTGCCAGATTTGAGAATCACCCACCAGTGAATCAACTGGGATTGCGTGTGTCAAGCGTCGTCCTGTACTGGCAGACCACAGAGCTTGGGCTATTGCCGGCACCGGTTCTAACGGCCTCGCAGCCTTTGTCCGTGGTTTCCCACTCCTCCAGTCCAAAAAAAACTGTGCAAAGTACAGTGATGTTAAATGGGTCACTACGGCGCGTAGCGCCATGTACCGTAGAAATGGGCGCAGAGGCTAACACACCGTGCAGTATCATGCAGTGGGTCACTTGGGGCATGGTACTGGGTGTGAGTAGAAGGGAGCCAGATGAATCCTACCGACAGTGTAGGGCAGGGGTCACCAAACTACGGCCCGCGGGCCGAATCCGGACCGCGGCGTCAGTCCGTCAGGCCCGCCGACGGTACTTGAATTTGGTTGATAAAACGTATTGAACACGAGACGTTGTGATACAATTTAAATATGTTTAGAATACTAGGAGATCTTCACGCGTGCGGAGACCTCCTGACTGCTATGTTCCTTAAATGTACTATTTTAAATTTTAAATTATTGTATCTAGATTTTCTTGTTTGTTTGCTTATTTCGCGCCATCCCAAGTACTTCCGCGGCTCGTGGTAGCTCCGCCTACGCTCTGACGTTACCATGGTTTCCATGGCAACACACACAAACACGCATCTTTCCCGCCCCCAGATTTTCCAGCTGTCAACACAGGTCCGACGCTCCAGAAATATTTATTTATTATGCGGCCCGCGCTCGTCATTCTTTCAGTTATCCGGCCCGCTGTGAAAAAAAGTTTGGTGACCCCTGGTGTAGGGGATAGCAGCCTCCGCCAGCGCCGCAGGTAATGGCCACAGAGTCGGTCACTGAGGGAGTGTGGTGGGGGCGGCTGGCGGTAGGAGGCATGTGAGAACGAGTCACCCTGGCACCGGGTTAAGCACGTGATGGACCGGGGTGAGGAATGTGGTCCAAAGGTGAACGAGGGGGACACGGGAAGAGTAGCTGAAAAACGTCTAGAGTTCCCGAAGGGGGCGTGGTTAAGGGCGGAGCCAGAGAGGGAACAGGTGTAACGTAGCCTGGAACCTTCGGGAATATTCCAGAGGAGGGCGTGGCCGAGGGTGGAGCCAGGCCGTGCCGAGAAGAATAAAAGGGAAGCTCCGATCGAATATCGGGGATGTCTGCAGGTGAAGTGGAACCCAAGTGCTACGTCTTCGACAACGTGGGCCAGACAACATGTTGGCTGCTCTGACCCGATTATAGTTATCCCGTATGCGAGACAGATAGGTGTATTGTGGTCCCATGTGTAACAAGCGTGAGAGATAGGTGTAATTAGTCCCGTGTGTAACGGTGTTGGATAAGTGTAGAATAAACGTTGTTGCCTCATAAATAGTGTCTCTGAAATGACTCATTACGCAAGTAACAGAATTGTACACAGCGTTACGAAAGGCCTTTTTTTTTTCATGAGACGCAAAAAATAAAAGCATACACTCCACTGCAGCTTGTGCGCAAGGAAGTTGAGAGGGCTGCCGGTTACACCATCACCACCGTTTGATGTACACTGGAGGGGGGGAGGGTAGGGGGGAAACCGCTTCCTTCCAAGAGCTCGCACGTACCTCGTGAGCCTCTTCACTCGGAGGTGGGGACTGCTCAGGGGCGTCCCCCTGGTCGAAGCACAATTCCTCGGAGAGCGAAGCGACAAGGTTCTGCAAAAAAGGCGCGGTCACATGGATGAACACGGGTGAAAACGTGGGGGGGGGGGGGTCTTACAGCTAACAGTGCACCCACACACAATGAGACAATTCACCCGGCCCAGCAATTTTGGTTAATTGTCAAGATTTTGATATGGCGATTCAATGCGACAATCTCATCTGTTGTATCGTTTCTTGTTTGTTTACCCCCCCCCCGACTTGTTCGAGCAGTTCCTGTCAGCTCCACGAAATGACGATTCCAAGAACAATAACGTATTAAGTGTTAATGAACGAACACACCATTAAATCTTGACTTAAAGCTTTCGTGACTGCAGGAATTCATATTCTTTGGGTCCTTCGGTAAAGTCACGTAGATAGGTTGAAAGAAAATAACAAAAAACTATAATGTTTCGATCACAACACTGATGACGATCGCTTGTGTTGTGATCGAAATGTCGTAGCTGTTTGTTATTTTCTTTCGACCTATCTACGTGACTTTACCGAAAGACCCAAAGAATATGAACGAACATTTTTTCTAAAATACAAGAGTGACGCCTCACTTATGTCACCAGTGCTCTTGATCGTAACTTTAAATGCTCTCTCATTAGTAAAGCATCAAACTCATCACGTAGGTTTTTGCAGCCAATATTAAGATCCGTGTAAAAAAAAGATATTTGAAGTTAAGCAACGCAATCAACATTCTAACTTTGTGTAATTTTGTCATTCTGACTTCCTGGATTTTCCTGAAGATGGATGCAGCAGTTGGAAGCAATACGTCTTGTTCAATTGCTAAATTTGACATGACAATTGTACTTTAACTCTACCGGCGAGTGAGCTAAAACAAAAATAATTGGCGCACTAAACGCTGGTACATTAGAGAATGTAATTAGTTTGGCTATGTCGGGTGGTGAAGGGTCTTAACAACACAAATTCGGCCAGATGACAGATCACGACGTGGCCTAACCCAAAAATCAACGAAGCTTCAAACTCATGTTGGACACCGCAGGATGCCCCAGCCTAGGTAACATATTGAGTTAAATTTCGATTTAAAGCTTTCGTGACTGCAAGGATTAATCTTCTTTGGTTCTTTCGGCAAAGTCACGTAGAATGAGAATAAAATAATAAATTGATGAAATAAAATAACACAATAAAAGTCTCACGACGTTTCGGCCACAACACAATGAAGGCCGCTTGTGTTGTGGCCGAAACGTCGTGAGAATTTTATTGTGTTATTTTATTTTATCAATTTATTATTTTATTCTCATTCTACGTGACTTTACCGAGAGAACCAAAGAAGAACACATTGAGTTGTTTATTTCATTCATATTGTCAGGTCACGGGAGATTAAAAAAAATGAGAAATAATGCGACAGTAAGTTTGCGTAGAGGGCGACATGACCGGTGTTTTTCTATTATCATACGATGGATCAGAATATCGCCATTTAGCGGCGGCAACTCTATACCTCAACCCTGGGCGAGTCTAATAAAAAAACCGCTACAAGCCCGACCGGGGGTGGAAACTGGTTGTTCTTTTAAAAATGTAACGCACAATGTCCTGATGACCGCACCGAGGTTCCCAAACACACTGGGGGAACATTTAAACGATCAAGATAAGCGTTACTGTGTCGGTCTCTGTGGTTGTATTTCATATCTGGGAACTGAAGAAGCTGAAAGTTCACACAGTATGTGGAACAAAGTAAAGATGGCATGGAACAACACACGAATACACCGCAAACACATTAGAGGGCCAAGATAAGAGACCTACAGTTTTTTTGTTTGGGTTGCATCTCCCATTAAAGGGGAATTGTATATTTTGATGTAAAGCTTTCGTAACTGCAGGGATTCATATTCTTGGTTCTTTCGGTAAAGTCACGTAGAAGGGAAACAATAAAATAATAAAAATCTAAAACAATACAAATTTTCTTGCTGTGGTTTTCTCACCTGATGATGATTGCTTGTGTTGCAGTCGAAACATCGTGATAAATTTATTGTCTATATTATTTATTTATTATTTGACTTTATCGAAAGAACCAAGAATATGGGAATTGTATAGTTATATTTTTTTTATTTTCATGCAAAAATAAACAAAATAAGTACTTTTTACTTAAACCACATTTTAGTAAATATAGTAAAACTAGCTTGGTGTGTTGTACTTCCCCGCACCTCCGATTAGCATGGGTTGGCTATGTACGGTGATAAAGAAGTTCAACATACATACAAAACTCATTATGTTCCTATGGTGAGCTGTCATGCAATAGCTTTGTTATTAATCTGGCTTAGGAGGCATCGGAGAAACTTTGTCTTTTTTCCTATGCCAATGCCTCTAACGCCAAACAATTATTACCTCCGATTAGCGCAATTGGCTATATACGGTGCAAAAGAAGTTCAACATACATACATTACTTTGCTAAAAAGCACAGATTTCGTTGAAGTTGAAATAATCCTGCTGTCATGTCTGGGATGGAGGACCTAACCTGCTACCTCACTGCACGTGACAGAATTTAGAGTAAAGCAGCAGTGAGGGGGATTGATGATCCACCACTCGCCAATTCACACCAGTCACTCGCTCACTTCCTATCACTCTTCTATTGCTACTAGCATTATTGGGGCACCACATTGGCGAGATGTTAACTACCTCGCCTGGTACACAGTTCATGGGTTAAATCCGAGTCCTCCGGTTTTTCCCTCCACATTTAGAAACACGCGTTTAGAGTATTTGGCTGTTCTAAATTTCCAGATTATGATAATCCACTTCGTTGAGCTATCATTTATGATAGCCTGGTCGCTTCTAAAAAAAGGAGCTATATAGCTCAGTGAGCCTTACCTGCTAGACTAAAAATAGTTTAGTTTAAGTTTCGATGATTACCGTTGTAATGAACTTCACCCATTGACTGCTCCACCCATGTAGAGAACTATTAGGCATTAACATATATCAATTAAATAAACTTGTCACCAGCAAACATTTTCTACATTTCATTCTTGGTGAAGTGCAATCTCCCCAACTCCGACCCAGTCCTCTCTGACCTCAATATCCAGGGCCATTTCCAGCAATGTCGCACATTGCACATTTTTCCTTTTGAGACCATACACCGTCGTTATTATTGACGCATGCGTCGAGTCCTTTGCATGCCCGTGCACCGCTGCCAACGCAGCGTCACCAAGTGAAATGGGTACCTCGCAAGCTGCTTTTCCAGTTGGCGGGTGCTCACTGCCAGAATTCTCCTCTCCCTCGGTGAATGTCGTGTGCTCGGGCAGCGACGCGACCAGGTTCTGTAGGGAACAGAGCTGTAGTCAAGAACCGAGTGTCGTCCGGCACAGCTTGCGTGCAATGTAAACACGTACGTGTGTATGTGTATTGTATGCTGAACTTCTATCGCACCGTACGTCGCCAACCGTGCTATTCGGACAGGGAAACACGACCAGAAGCAGCATTTTCTCTACGTTATGAATACTGCACACATTGAAGTTTTGTGTAAACAATGCGTCACGACTCAGCACTTTACGTGCTTAATGTGTATCGCAAGGTTTACTAATGTGTGTTAAATTGCAAGTAATTACTATCGATTTTAGTAACCTGCAGAAGAAAATGTAAGTTAACATATTTCAATATCAAAATGATCTCTCAATAAGCTTCATTTTACTGTCATGGAACACTATTTTATCAATATAGATTTATTTGAATTTGGATGTTTTTCCAACATTATGAATACCTTGCCTACAACTACATGGCAGAGCTCTGAAGTAAAATTATAACGCAAGAAAGAAGGCATCTAATCTGATACATATTTCTCAGATTTTTTCCAATTCTCCATTTTATTGCCTTTGAACTCGCTCAGTGTGCTTGTTTAGCTCAAACTGTGCCCCCGATAGCGACCATACAGCAGTAGATAGACACCTGGCAGTCATTACCTGTAGCCCCTGCCAGTCTTCATCCTGGACGTGCGACGCCACGTCCGCCAGAAGCCTTCGGAGGAACAAGTTCTCCTCCCTCTGTCTCTGCACCTCACCCTGGAGCTCCTCGATCATCGACGTCTTCTGCGAGGAGTAATCGTCCTCCTCTTGGCATCGACTCCGCGCGTCGTCGCTGTCGCCCGCCTGCTCCGGCGACGCGGCGCCCTCCTGATCCTGGTACCCGTCGCTGTTCTGCTCCTCCCCGGGAATTTCGTACGCGTCGCCGGGGAGGTGGTTTCCATCGGCGGAGGCGCGCCCTCCCGGCGACGACGCCTCCTTGTCCTCGGACGAGCCGCAGCTCTCGTTGTCGAGGTGGCGGCCGCGGCGGCGGCGGCGGCGGCTTCCGTCCTTGGGCCCGGCATCGTACATCATCTCGCCCTGTGTGTGCTCCAGGTGCTGCGCGTCCATGCTGTCCGCCGAGTCGGCGTCTTCCAGTTCGCCGATCAGGCAGCCGTCCTCGTCGTTCTCGCCGTCGTCGTGACCCCGCAGGCCGCTCGCAATCCCGTTGCTGTCAATGTCGTAGCAGCTGCCATCGTGGCTCCCGGGGCTCTGCGCGATATCGCAGTCCTGCTGGCCGTGGCCATCCAAGGAGATGTCCTGCATCCCTCGGCCCAGGTACTGCGAGGCGATCTCAGTGAGGTGGTGATGGGACCCCTGGTTCTCCTTGGGGTCCCTGGGGAAGTCAGGAGGGCCGCCGCGGGGCTGAGGTGGCTCCATGCCTTGCTGCCTGCATCTTCGCCGCTGGTTTCCTATCCAGTTCTGTAAACAGGGAATTAGTTGACTCAATAATGGCAACGTTACACGCACAGGAGGAGATTGCCGACTGAGCGCCACCACTCATTTCAAATAAGGATCCCGCATTGGGGTGATTGATGCATTGCACAAGTACAGCCCCTGTGCCAATCCACTGCTGGCCGTGCGTCACGGGGGTCATTTGACCATGCTTGATCACCACATTGGTTGTGTGAGCATATAAGTACGGTGTGATTGTGTTGTACTGCTCTCTGCCAACGAATACAGAGCCCCATAGCAGCCTGTTTGTGCATGGTGGTCACGCACCCAAGCACTAACACAAGGCTGCAACTTGCTTAGCATTAAAATGTTGGTATCTTACGTGTGTAAATACGTGCTTGCTATGTGGCAATTGACACCATTGCCAAAGATACGTTCAATCTCGAGGGATTTACGAGACAAACGAATTTAATGAAATCAACAAAAAATATTTTCCGAGATGTGACGAAACTGGGGGCCTACGGGAAGTGTTCACCGTAGGCAATGATTAATTCATTAACGATTCATTCATTAGTACATGTACAACTCGACAATTTTTTTTTGTTACAGAAGTTTGTCATTCCACTGCTGGACAAAGGCCACCCCACGGTGTAATCGGTCATGGGGGATTGTTTGACCATACTTCACCATGCCGGTCAGTGCGGGTTAGTGAAAGTGGGGGAGCCAGGACTAAGTTCAGATATATCACTTGCCACTGGTTGAGCCATGGCCCAGGATTAAACTCAGGTCAACAGGTTGATAAGAGATGGCGTTTTAAATCACTGCGAAACCGCTCCGCCTCCCGAGCGCTGAAAACGGCGGACTTCACATGGATGGACTTTGTATGAAAACATAATAACGTGGGGGATGGCACGCGATTCAAAACTGCACTCCATTTTAATTGTCCGATGCACCGTGAGGTAAAGCTCCAGCGGTCTCACCTTGACGATCTCAAAGTCTATGTTGAGTTCGTTGGCCACAGACTCGATCTTCTCACGGCACACAGTGCCCAGGCTGGTCATACCATTATCCCAGTAGCGTTTCAGCATCACCAGGTCTCGGGGGCTGAACTGCGTGCGGTCCTGCATCTGGATAAAAAGGGGCGCCGTGGTGACGAGATGTTAACTACCTCGCCTGGCATACAGGTCGTTGGTTCTATCCCAACCCCGAAGCCTGTATATTTGGAGTTTGTGTGTTCTCCCTCCGTGGTTACGTGGATTTTTCTCCAGGTCCTCTGGTTTTTCCCTCCACATTTAGAAACGTGCGTTTAGATTATTTGTCTGCTATAAATTTCCACATAAGCCACTTGTGGTCATGTCGCTTCGGAAAAAGAGCTATGGAGTCCAGTGGGCCTTACCTGTCAATTTTTTTTTTTGTAAAGTAGGTAATATAAAATAATGGCTCCCATTTAAATTTGGGTGCGAGAATTGTACACCAACGTAGCAGTTAGCTGAAACAATGATTGTAGTTGTTTACATGTTTATTGTTTACTTTTACTTGTGTTTCTATACACAGCATTTTGAGGTGACATGCCATGAAGGAACTTTATAAATTAAAGGCTAATGTTATGATTATAATTGCAGCATGAACTGCTTGTGCACGAGACAGTGAAATTAGTTCGGCTGTTATGTCAGGCGGTGGAGGGACTTTTGACTGAAATTTGGGCAGATAATTACGTGGTCTTCCACAAAAGTGTATGACAAAGCGTACATTTGAATCAGCGTTTTCTGTTAGTCTAGTCACTTCCGTGGATTTCATGTCATCATCTCTCAATCCAGTGGACGAAACCAATAAAAACTATAGTCCACTCATAGTTATTAAATGTTGGGTGTGAGGGGAAAACAATTTCACCCCACCACAATATTCTCAAGTCAGCAACTCAGTATTTCTTTCTCTACACAAGTCTAGCCAATAAACATATTTGGCCTTCCTCAGTCTACTGCTGTCTCTACTAACATTACAAATTTATCTTAGGTCTGCGTCTGCATTTTTTAGACTTTGAGTGATAATTAAGTCTAATGTCGATAGCCAATCATTATCGTGCTTGATAATTTTCATTCAACTCAGTGAAAATAAAAAAAACACACAAAGACACTTTGTTGATGAATATTTCCATCACAACCACCATGGTGTTTTCCCAGTGCTCTCTGTGACTGGCAAAGTTTTCATCCACATGGTTCAGGCATTTATTGATATCTGAAAGCCGCAGTAAGTATTAAGAACCTCTTTCAGGCAAATATTGCAATTTGGAGGTTTGGCCAAAAGCGTTTTTCTGGTTAGATCACGTAAATATAAATGTGTCTGTCGTTAAACCGACCACAACCCGACACAGCCAATTAGTAAGGTTTGTCACGTGAACAAAACATGGGAATTCTTTACTAGTTTAGCACACCGGTGTGTTGGAGAGCAAACTCACAACATTTACAATTCGAGTACGATGTTTCGCCAGAAATTACAACTAGCATCAGGCGACTGCCAGAGTTGTGGAGAAATCCTCTTGTTTCAGTCTTAATTAGAGGGATAAATAAGATGGCATCACTTGTGATCCAATCAGGTGTGAAGACCAGAGGGGGGTGGTTAATGTACGCATGTAAATTACAACGGATAATCCATTAATGGTTGGGTTATTCATAGGTTTGGCCAATTTCATTTTGATGGGTGTTTTCAGAACGGGGCTACACGAGGGTACCCAGAGGCAACCCACGCATACAAGAAGAGTTGGCACAGCCAGGTCAGGAACCGGTTTGCTTGCACTGCCATCTCCCGACCACCTACCAACCCCTTTGCCTCCAAAAGTGCTGGATATTTTAGGCATGAAACCGGTGCACATTTTGAACAGTCTAAATAAATCAGCGGTGTAGCTATCGAGCGAGTAGACGGTACGACTACAGCAGGGCCCACCAGCCGGAAGAGCCAAGGAACCAGGCTACATAGGAGGAGGAAATTTGAGTGCCACCCCCCCACCCCCCACCTCGTACCAGGGCCCATGCCAACCACGCTACGCCACGCCAGTGGTCTAGACGCTCCACCAGAAGGAGGACATGCATCACGAGGGCTTGCAAAAGAAGGAACATGTTTTCGAAGTTATTTTCAGAGAGCAAGGTGTGAGGTGCCAAAAGAAATGGCAATGTGGAAAATGTGGCAATGATGACAGGTTGTAGAAAGAGACAGCCAGTCATAAGAAAAGGAGAAGAGGATATTTTCTGTCTTTGACAAGTCAAAGAGAGACAGCCAGTCATAGACATAGCAGAATAGGATAGTCTAGAGATTAGACTTGAGCAGAATAAATACATTGTTTCTTGGCCTTAATAAAAAAAGCATCAAAAAGTTAAACAAAAAAAATCTTTCGGGAGGATCCTGCAAAGGCATGTTTGGCCGATGTGTATCTTTTGTTAGACATATTTAGGTGAGAGGGAAAATCGGAGAAAACCCACATGAGGGTATTATGTTCAAGGACCAAGGAGATAGGTCAGTAACCTACTTATTATACTACCTCTTACAGAGACCCCCCACGCCCCATCTTGACCCTGCAAGAGGCAATCTCATTCAAATGATGGTTCCATCTCTGTGAGGTCCATCAAACCAACATGCAAGCCGATGCATTACAATCGTTCTCCATAGTCACTGCCATCCACGGCGTTCAGCGGACACCTCAATTTTACATTAAATACAAGTGCATAAAAAAACCTAAGCTGCGCCGATAAAGAACACAACTACCGCTATAACGGAAGATTTATGTTTGATGTCATTATGCCTGTAATCCCCCGCCATGCATGGGCTAGAGCAGATAGGACCGACCCGCTGTGCGATGCTAATCCCATTAGAAAGCCGTTGCGGGCTTAGCGAGCTCAGCTTAACTGCCTCACCTACGGAACCCTGTAACGGGGATGAAAATGTATTTTGACAGGGCGACTTAAACCGTGCACTCTAATGCCATTGCAGAACAATGGGTATCAGGCTCAGCCCGAAGCCCTCTGTGTCACTTGTTGCGTGAAATGGCCTGCATACGATCCAATCAGTGCACCAGATGAACACGTACGGTCAGGAGGGGAGGGTGGGTGGAATCTATGGGGAATCGTGGGCCAAATGCGGCCCGAGTCCTCGTTTCATAAGAGCACCATCGATTCGGAACGGCCCACACATGATATTTATCCATCACTGAAATTAGCTCGGCTGCACACATCGGGTACAAGAGGAGAATATGTAAAGCTGCCCACAGCACTGTGTTTCTACATTTCGAATGCTCAGCCGTCACCTGCAAAGGTCAGCCACGAGTATATTTTGCATAAAAATTTGGAAAATGCTAACGTGTGCGCTAATGTGCGATTGCTCGCCAAAGGGATTCAAAAGGCTTATTACACCCCCACTAATGTTAAATAACTATTTTTACTTTACGAGGTAAGGCCAACTGAGCAATATAGCTCTTTTTCAGAAGCGATCTGGCCACAAGTGATAACCCAATGAAGTGGCTTATCATGTGAAAATGTATAGCAGCTAAATAATCTAAACACACGTTTATAAATGTTCCGAGTCCATGACATACAAATAACGTGCAGGTGCAGTGATGTAGAGATTGTGGCAAGCTGCACAATGTATCCTTACCACTCTCTTTCTTCCAGGTGACAGATAGGGCATTCCACCCAAGCCAACATTCAGCAGGTATGGCTGTTGAAACAAGTCAAACTTTCATTCAAGACAATTACAACACAATTTTGATTGATATAGCATCTGCAAGTGCACACCACAATTTTGATTGATATAGGATCTACAAGTGACTGGATCTCAAGGCGTGGTATTTTTTATTATCAAGAATGTCATTATGATCAGCCAAGAGTACAGTGCTTTTTTCACTTAAAAAATCCGTGTCATGCGTGTTATATAACAATGCACCCTTTGGTCAAAGTGGTTTTTCACACAATGCTCATCTGCTGTCCACATTCCTTAGCTAGTGTCAGAAATTATACATTCCTATGCTGGGGGTAATTGATTACAAAAAAACGATAACTGCTGAATTATCTTATAGTAATCATTGTAACAATAATTTGTAGTTATTGCTCTACATTAGCCATACGAAAGAAGAAGATTGTATCAACCGTGCAGGGATCATATACTTAGTCGACCTCCAACCAGGATTTGTACTAATGACTTTATATTGCTCTATCCACTGTAACATATGCTACCATTACATCACCAGTCATGGTAAATTCACTGCTGGATGAAGGCCTCCGCAAGTCTCCTCTTCCCTCCCTCCCAAGGTCACCCTTGAAAAAGATTTTTAGCCGAATGGGCATTAACACAGGTGAACAAAGATAAATTATACTAGCTCCTGCACATTAACTGATTTCACGACTCCATCTCCACGGTGGGAGTCTTCCTAAGGCATCTTCCATCCTTTGCCTGCCATGCCATCATTAGTCTCGACCATCTAGTCTGGCGATGCGTCCTGCCCAAGCCAAATTCACTTTTCTAATTATGTCTATAACCCGCGTACATTCTCCAATCCAGGTGTTGCTCTTTCTGTCTCTCAATATATTTCATGCAACTTCTGCACTTTCTTTGCCTTTCTATTATTAAATTTATGATCCATGGGTCACAGTAGGTAGTGCACACTTATCAACTCCTTTCTTCTTTAGGCACATTTCCATGCTGCTTTTCATGATTCAAGTTCAGCTTTTGTAAAAGCAATCCAATGTGCTCTCAATGACTCTCAAGGATTTTAATTGGGAAGATCCTGCATTATGATGTTTGGTCTATTTAAGATGTATCTTGTTACATGGAAAGAAAGCAAAGTAGCCAGGGGAAAACCAACCACGTAAGTTATGGGATTCGGCTTTTGACCAAATCACCCGCAATGTGCCCAAGTCTGCTCAGATCTCGCAAGCTACGCAGGGTTGAGCCCAGATAGTGCTTGGATAGGCCACTGCTATGCACAACAGTTGTTATCGTCTACCATGGGGCTACGTTGCATTTATCAACCCGGAATGACCAGCATGGTGAAGTATGGTGATAACTCCCATAACCCGCACAGTGTGGGTAGGCCCTCATGCAGAATTGAGGATAATACTAAAGAGTCCATGCAAATGATGGGGTCACATCCCATTTTCTACACTCACGTCTCCTGCCACCTTACAGCCCGGTGGATTTGAGAGTTGTAGAAATCTCTCCATCATCTACCAACCCTTGCCCTCCAAGGCGTTTGGCCACGGGCATTTGGTGGAGTGCCTCCACTCGGTGGACTCAGTCTAAAATGAGTGGCCAGATTCAGTCACTGTGCCCGGTTTAATGGCATTTGCTTTGTCACCGAGATTGCAAAATGATGAAGTGAAATGAGAACAAACACAAATATAAAGTTGTGACCCCCTTGGGAATAAAAATAAACAAGTTATCTTTCTCAACAGCAGGAAGCTAAAGTTCCTTAGCGTGTCTCAATACTGTTCTGAGACAGTAACCCCTTGTTTGCCGCTTGTCTACAGATTTACCAACAAGGAAAAACGTCTGGTTTGAGTAAAAGTTTTTTTGTTCTTCTGCTGCTGCATTGCCACTTCCTCCACAAGTGTAATCTGCACCTAAACAATTTTTAACTCACGAATGGCAAAATGTCTGGTGTTTGCCGTACAACTGCACAATACAAAAAAAAAACGCTTATCTTTTTAGACTAGGTAATGTTTCCGCTTTTCACTAAAATATATATCAACAAAAGTAAACATTTAAGAGAGTACAAAAAGTACAATACCGGGCCCGTAAATAAGCAAATAAATCACAGCGTGTGCACACCTATTGCAGAATTCCGAAAATAGGTGAAACCAAACTGTACATTGGCTCCACCTGACATTGGGAGCCAAAAATCGAAGTTAGAGGAGGCCGAGTGGTCTAAAAGAGGGGGGAAAATATCGTGTCCGAGCACTGCACTGGCACCTTTAAGACCCCGAGTTCAGCTCTATAGTTCCACCGCTCGCGATGAAACTGCATTCCCGAACATTGGGAGTAGTTCACAACCTGGTCACCAATAACTGCAGAAGAAACCCCCTGAAAAATAGAATTTTATTAATTCAATGCATTACTAAAATGATTTATAATCGATTTTTTGGTGATGCCATGCAATGATCTGGCCTATTTTGTGTCGTTAAGACCCTCCCACTAGATGATATAGCTAAAATAAAATTAGCCGTCACGTGTACACGTGCCTATTTCGCCAATTATTATTGTTTCAACTCACCGGTGAAATGAAGAATTATCATAAAATTTAGCAATTAGATACGATTTTTGCAGACAATTACGTGGCCTAACCCAACAATCAATTGTGAATCATATTGGCTGGAATTTCGTAGGCCTTGGCAGTTCCCAGTAATCACCAATGGATATATTCTCTGGGTAACCACGAGGCTGTGTGGAGCACATTCTCTAGCCTACAAACCATCCCCTCCCTGCTGTACCGCTCAACCAACGTCACTTCAAGGACAGACCAGAGATATACGTGTCCATAAATATGTACCTTACAGGTTATATACATCACTCGAGACAGTTCAAAAACATGTCTAGTCAGAGCAGTTGGTCAATCAAAGTCTAGTCCTTCCTCCTGGAAGGACTAGACTTCCTCCTGGAAGGACTAGACTTTGAGAAGGGAAAGGATGGAGTTAAGGGAGGGATCTTTAATCCCTCCCTTTCCCTACTATTCATGGGAGTGAGTGGGCGGGAGTCTTGCCATTGGAAATGTGGTCTCTGCATGCTCCCTAAGTAATCAGCAGAGACCACATTGGCAATCGGTCGGAAGAACACAGTTTCTGCACGTGCTCTCCACAATTAAAAAAAATAATATATATGTTCAAAGAAAAGCCACTGCACACGAGTCTCTTTCATGGGCCAAAGTGAGGTCAGTCCAGCCCTGTCCACTCCTTAAAAGTACAGCAGGGCAGGTGACCAGCCTGAATGTATTCACTCTGTGCATTATCTGGTGGTCACCCAGAAGAAACACCTGTCACTAAAAGCCGTGGGTCCTGCCAGGCCACAATAAATTTTACATCTGGGTTCGATTGACATGCAACAAAGCAAGCTTAATTTCAAAAGTGTGCTCTCACATGGGTAAATACGTATCTGTAAACCCCTGTGAGCGGAGATTCCACATAGACCAATTCAGACCTTTTTGGTGACCTTATAAATCTCAGTCCCATCACAAGCAAGAAACACAAATAGACCAAAATGTTTTTTTTTCCTGTATTGAAATGGCTGTACGTCATATGGACCTGAAAACCTAATTTCCTTGCACACGAATACGGGTAAACCGTATGGGTTGACAGCTATGTAAACAAGTCAAACTGAAGTGACTTAAGATGTAGTTGTGTTGTTGTTGCTCTCCACCACAAGGTGGCGCGCCACTAGCTGCGCGTGTTTTGAATGAAAACATCATCACGTGACGTCGGCGTTAGCGCCACCGTCATATATACTCTAGAGCAGTGGTTCTTAACCTGGGTTCGATCGAACCCCAGGGGTTCGGTGAGTCGATCTCAGGGGTTCGGCAGAGCCCCCGCCACGGAGGTCCGGACACACTTGAATTATTGTGTAAATTTGTGATGACACACACGGCCCGCTTGGCCATCACTGGCTGCAGATGATCATGCTACACTGCTTGGCCAATCAGCGCTGCGGGGAATTTAGTGCGTACTCAGTAGTCAACGTGTGACTGTTGTTGTCGTACGTCGTGTGATTTCTTTAATATTTTATCCATACTAACTATGTCGGGCAAAAGAAGAAAGTGGTCGGACGAATATGTACAACATGGATTCTCATGTATCACGGAACGTGATGGGAGTGAGCGTCCTATCTGCATGATTTGCAACGCCAAGTTGAGCAACTCTAGTCTTGCACCGGCAAAACTAAAGGAACACTTCTTGAAGCTGCATGGAGACGGGGAATACAAGAACACAACACTTGCTGAATTCAGGGTGAAGAGAGCCAGATTCGATGAAAGGGCCACTCTGCCTGCTCTTGGATTTGTACCTGTTAACAAACCGATCCTGACAGCATCGTACGAAGTAGCTTACCTGATCGCAAAGCAGGGCAAGCCACACATCATTGGTGAAACACTTGTGAAACCAGCTGCATTAAAGATGGCGAATCTGATACTCGGAACAGCGGCCGAAGGTAAATTATCCCAAATTCCCCTTTCAAATGACACCGTCAGTGACAGAATAGAAGACATGAGTAAAGACATCTTGGCTCAAGTAGTCGCGGATCTGATTTCAAGCCCGGAAAAATTCAGCCTTCAACTCGACGAAACCACAGACGTTTCTGATCTAAGCCAGCTTGCTGTTTTTGTACGCTATGTGAAAGACGACATGATAAAAGAAGAGTTTTTATTTTGTAAGCCTCTTACAACAACAACGAAGGCAGCCGATGTGAAGAAGCTTGTGGATGACTTCTTCAGAGACAACAATCTTTCATGGGATATGGTTTCTGCAGTTTGTACGGACGGAGCTCCAGTCATGCTGGGAAGAAAGTCTGGTTTTGGTGCGCTAGTAAAGGCCGATGCACCACACATCATTGTGACGCATTGTATTCTGCACAGGCATGCGTTGGCAACAAAAACCTTACCTCCAAAAATGGCAGAAGTATTAAAAACTGTGGTGGAATGTGTGAACTATGTGCGAAAAAGTGCTCTGAGGCACCGCATCTTCAGTGAGCTGTGTAAAGAAATGGGCTCTGAATTTGAGGTACTTCTGCTCCATTCTAATATTCGGTGGTTATCCCGGGGACAGGTGCTGAATCGTGTTTTTGCCATGCGTGTGGAATTAGCCCTGTTTTTGCAAGAGCACCAACACTGCCATGCAGATTGCTTCAAAAATCCTGAGTTCATTCTTATTTTAGCGTACATGGCTGATATATTCGCAGCTCTCAATCATCTCAATCAGCAGATGCAGGGTGGTGGAGTCAATATCATGGAAGCGGAAGAACACCTGAAGGCTTTTCAAAAAAAGCTACCGTTATGGAAACGACGAACAGAGAACAATAACTTCGCAAACTTCCCGCTTCTGGACGACTGTGCAAGTAAGATCGAAGATGTGTCTGGAATCGGAGATATTTCTGTATCCACGGAACTGAAGCAAACAATTGCCACGCACTTAGATGAGCTTGCAAAGTCTCTCGATGGATATTTCCCTACAAGAAAGTCATATCCAGCATGGGTGAGACAGCCGTTCACGTTTGCTGTTGAAACAGCAGATGTCAATGATGAATTCCTCGACGAAATCATTGAAATTCAGCAGAGCCAGGTTCAACAGCAACTCTTCAGAACAACAACGCTCTCAACGTTTTGGTGTCGACAAATGAACAAGTATCCAGTTATTGCTAAGAAAGCCCTGGATTTTTTTTATACCATTTGTTACAACATATCTTTGTGAGCAATCCTTTTCGAGGATGCTGGACATAAAAACGAAGAAAAGGAACAGACTTTGCTGTGAAAATGACATGAGAGTGGCACTTGCCAAGGTGAAGCCACGCATATCTGAACTGATCTCTCAAAGGCAACAGCAGAAGTCACATTGATTTCCAGGTATGTAATTTGTTGTGAGTTTATGCATTGTGTTGGTTTTATTCTTTGAACAAGGTAATGTTCATGCACGGCTCATTTTGTGTACCAGTAAAAAACATATCTATGTCTTGAATTTGAAAAAAATCACATTTTATTTTTCACTAAAGAGGGGTTCAGTGAATGCGCATATGAAACTGGTGGGGTTCGGTACCTCCAACAAGGTTAAGAACCACTGCTCTAGAGAAAATGAGATGGGGGGGGGGGGATAATTCAAAGTGGTCTCATCCTCCTCCTGTCAGCTTGCGTCAGCCTCCATCTCCTGTCTACAGCTGTGAGCGGAGATTCCACATTCCTATAGTGGAAAGTGGTGGGGAGGGAATACGCCCACAGCACTGTTGATTTTTCCAAAATGTGGAACTGATTTTAAACATTAACATAGGAGGCCAGCTCTCGATTGTCTGGGGTACTTGTTGGGGTGTGGGAAGTTAATGAAAAACCGTATGTAGATTGGACTGTAAAAACGTATTGTTTATCTATGCAGAGCAGGGGTCCAGATAGAGACCGCATAATCTGTTTTTATTTGCTTCTTAAAGTGATCGGTTTACTTGCCGACATATTTGCAGTCACGTGGGTAATGAGTGACTGAACTGCGGAAAGATATTACAGTAGATCATCGATTATCCGGCGGCTTCAGCGGAATGGGGGCGCCGGATTTTTCAAACTCGCCGGATAATCACATCATTATTTAAAAGCTTATTTTTGCACATTCTTGCATAACATTATCTTTTGAGGTGTTACATATTTTTTTAAAATCCGTTCACTATATAAAATTGGCATGAATAAACAGATAAATAGACAAGAATAAATATCCTACTCTAAAATGTTATTGCTTTTACTGTACCGTACTTACCACTCCAATCTCGAAGACTGCATGGGGTGATGTACGTACTACGCTCTTGTTTCAATATCGTTTGACAATCGCCTGACTGATGCAGCCTTTACACGCACTTTTTCGCCGGATTGCACTGTATATATTTTTTTTTATCACTGTAGTTATTCGTGATGAAACATGTATATACGTGCAGTATTTTAATTAAGTTGTTATGTCGAGTATAATGTATTGTATGTAATATTTGACACTAAAATGAAGCATAGGTAAAAAAAAATTATCACGCACATGGTGCCAATCGCCTGACTGGTACAGGCCTTGGGAGCGTTTTTTCCGGCTTCGCAGGATCGGCCCGGGATCGCCGGATAATGTTGGAAGCCGGATAATCGATGATCAACAGTATTATTGTTCACAAGCACGGTTAATCCACCACCCAGATAATTTTCCCAAGGACATTCAATCCTTACGTGTACACTCCAGAATTAGCCTAAGCTTTGCTGGCGTTCTGGTACCTGGTGCTGCCCTGGGCTCTGTGTTCCAATGGGGAGGAATCCTTGAGTGAACGAGGTAATAGGCGACACGGGCTGGTGCGGCGTACTTCCGGACACGGCAACACCTGCAAGACAGCCGCACACAATTTGGGCATTCACTGTGAGGCACGAAAGCATTATACCGTCACAATGCAGTACAATTAGGATTTTTTAATACTTAAATATATTTTTTTATTTTACTAGGTAAAGCACACTGAGCTTCATAGCCTTTTCAGAAGCGACCTGGCCACATATGATAGCTCAACAAAAGTGGATGAACTTGTGAAAATGTATAGCAGCCAATTAACCAAAACGCATGTTTCTAAATGTGAAGGGAAAAACTGGAGGAGCTGTAAAAAATGCACGCAACCACAGGGAGAGAGAGAGATAGATACAAGCAAACTCCAAATACACAACAGGAGTCAGGGTCGGGACCAAACCCACAGCCTCTTGTATGCCAGGGGAGTGAGATAACAGCTCTTCACTGCGGCACTCCAAATGCTATTTACCTAGTATGCAAATGCCGCTGCATCTCATGCAAGGTGGCGGAGGCTTTTGATGTGAAACTCATTAATTTAGAAATGTTTTTTTTGTGTTTAGATTGTTGTCCTTCCCCTGCACCTCCGATTAGCAAAGCCGGCTATGTACGGTGTGAAATAAGTTCAACGTACACAAATACAAAAGGAACAATCGTTGTCATCGACAACGGCGAGCGCCACCGACGCACGCGCGTCCTCACCGTCACTCTTGGCGGCGTGCACGGAGGGGGAGCCGATGCGGCTCACGGACTCCGAGAGGCACACGAGGGACTTGGCCGCGCGCACCACGCGGTCCTGCGAGGGGGAGAAGGGCTGCACGCGCGGGCCCGCGTCGCCCGTCTCGGCGGCACCACCGCCACCGCCGCCGCCGCCGCCGCCAACGGCGCCGCCACCGCCGCCGCCGCCGGCGCCACCGTCCCCTGGCTCCATCTTGGCATCGTCGCCCGCGTCGTTGCCATTGCGTTTGTCGGCGGCGTCCTCCTGCGCCCCGGCGTCCCCCTCCTCATCCTCCTCCTCATCCTCCTCCAGGTCGATGTACTCCATGAAGCTCTCCTGAAGCTGGCAGCCGGATTGGGCCATCTCCTCCTCTCGCGAGTACTCATCCAAGTCGCCGGTCTCCATGGCGATGGAGAAGCTGTTGCCATTGCCTTGGGATCAGGGTTGTTAATTTATTTTAGAGCGTTATCGATAATCGCATGCGCAAAAAAAAAAACCTGCTAAATATTGATTTTTTTTTTCCAGCGCATAGTTTACTGAAATGTCCAACAATAAAAATGTACGTCCAGGTGTGTGTTTTTGTCTGTTTGAATGTACCATGCACTGACTGGCAAGCCGTGCCACTGCTGCCTTATTATGGCTGTCACACGCCGTGTGATTTAAATGTTCTCATGTGCTGCCCATCGGTTCAATCCTTGCTGACATTTAACCAAATTCGATTATCAATTTCATGACTTTGGAATCGATAATTGATTCCAAAAAATAATCACCAAAAAGTGATAACTGATGAACAACAGGACGTGATAGTGAGCAGATGCGGTCATTTTCGTGGCCCATAGCGGGCAGATCTGGGCATGTAGCCTTTTCCATTGTATCTACAAAACTTTGCAAAAATCTATTTTTCGTGATATGTGCTTCAAATATTGCTACGTTGAAGAGTTTAATTTAAAAAAAGTAATATTTATATGTGCTTGCTACGTGCACTTGATGAGTAATGGCCTTAACGAGACTTTAAGTTAATTGAAGTTAATGAATGTATTAAATATTTAAGTTATTTGATCTATTAGGTCACATTTGATACATATCACCGACGAGTGATAATTGTGCTTTATAAAAAAAATACATGGCTAATGATGGCGAAATCCTGGACTTTGGAGGCAAGGGTTTGCGGATCACGCATCTAGAAGACATTGCCAAATCTTCTGGACCGACTGCAAGGAGGCCAAGGGATTCTCAGTTGGTCCGTGAACCCACCATTGTGAACTCTGGGACGTTAACTCTTTGTACCCACTATGGGTTGTCTACGGAGAGTTGCGTCTATCTCAGACCGATTACAATGGAATGGGCCAAACTTCAACAATGTCGGCCCCGGACAAAAAAAAGAAGTAAGTTTTGAGACTCCGCGAGGCTTTCCTGAATAATATAACGTAACGTTACTATAATTTACAGTCACCTGTTAATCATTTTACTTTTCACATCCGCTGGTGGCGAACGCAATGAGAGCTTTTGAGTGCAGGTAAATAAAACCGATTTAGTTAACCATTTTGACTAAAACCCTCAAAAGTAAGTCGAGGTTAAACTATTTTCTCAAAAATGGAACATTATAACGCACCTCAAGGAGGTGTCTTGATTTTTAAATGTTTTTTTTTATAAAAATGGTCAATTTAAACCAACTCGAATAATTTAAAGTGCATAGAGTCATTAGACTTTTTGGTCACGGAGTCTGTTTAACTTTAAGTTTATCAACTCACTGCTGCCCTCTGCTGGGCCATTCTCCAGGACATGGTAGCACCGATAATTATTATTGGCACGTAAAATAAACATGGATTAATTATAATTATAATCAATCCATTACCATAATCCGTTACTATAATTTTACTATAATTTACAGTCACCTGTTAATCATTTTACTTTTCACATCCGCTGGTGGCGAACGCAATGAGAGCTTTTGAGTGCAGGTAAATAAAACCGATTTAGTTAACCATTTTGACTAAAACCCTCAAAAGTAAGTCGAGGTTAAACTATTTTCTCAAAAATGGAACATTATAACGCACCTCAAGGAGGTGTCTTGATTTTTAAATGTTTTTTTTAAATAAAAATGGTCAATTTAAACCAACTCGAATCATTTAAAGTGCATAGAGTCATTAGACTTTTTGGTCACGGAGTCTGTTTAACTTTAAGTTTATCAACTCACTGCTGCCCTCTGCTGGGCCATTCTCCAGGACATGGTAGCACCGATAATTATTATTGGCACGTAAAATAAACATGGATTAATTATAATTATAATCAATCCATTACCATAATCCATCAATCCATCTTTATATTAGTGCCAATATCGCCCTCCATAAAGATCGCATCAGCACACATTACAGCAGAATGGGAACGGTATGGTGGGGGGGGGGCACAGAGTAACAGGAATGAAACCTGTTACACCCTCAGCTGCTAACACTGACTGAGCAAAGGGAATTGCAAACCGCACACAAGATAAAGCGCAACCGGGCATAACAAATGGTATTCCATAACGCATCTACGTGTAACCGCATCCTTTACATTTCTGTTTCAGGCAAGCACAAACTAATGTGCATTCCATTCATTAAACTATGTTCATTGTTAGATTAAAATTATTCAGCTGTGCACGTGATGGGCACAACGGTGGCCCATTTTCATGCACTCAACAACGTACGCTTCCTCGTCAATGCGCTCGCAAAAGACGCTCCCTCGTGCACATACAAAAAATCTTAGTGTGGGAATTTCGCATGGAATCATTGCGATTCCTGCAGAAATCATCGAGGGTAGAATCATAGATACATAATATTATTGCATTGAGTGTCCAGCTTTAGTTTACAAAAGGCTTTAGTTCAAATTCAATGAGTTGCATTTGATTTTGATTTAAAGCTTTCGTGACTGCAGGGATTCATATTCTTGGTTCTTTCAGTAAAGTCACGTAGAAGGGAAAAAAATAAAATAATAAAAATATAAAACAATAAAATTATTACGATGTTTCGACTGCAACACAAGCAATCATCATCAGGTGTGAAAACCACAACAAGAAAATACGTATTGTTTCCCTTCTACGTGACTTTATTGTTTCCCTTCTACGTGACTTTACCGAAAAAAACAAGAATAAGAGTTGCATTTGCATTAATAAAGCGTGGCTTATGACCAAATCACATAACATGCCCCAATCTCATCAGCTCACGGCAGCAAAGCTGGTTTGAGCCTTTATAGTGTTTGGATGGGTGAGCGCACGACTGCATGGCTACGTGGTGGGCAGCAGAGGGCAGTGCACAAAATTCCACATTTGTTTTGTACTTATACACTACCACATCTATGCTCCCCGCTTTCACCAGCCTGCAATTTATCAGCGTGGTGAAGTATAGTCAAACAACACCCCGCATCCTGCATGGAGTGTGGAGACCCGAATCCTGCAAGTAAGACTTTAAAATTAGCATAGGGCTGTACATACAAAGGTATCAAAATGCATTATATTTAAAACGTAAAGATTAAATAGCACGTTTGCTATTTTATACGTAATCATACTGCTTTTAAAAATAACCTATAACTCAAGTTTTCTGGCTGGCTGCTGGCTGGACTACTTTTCCACTCCAACAAGAACGCTATTGTTAGTGGCTGTGACCCGTTGCCACCACAACTAGCAGGGTAACTGGGTACATGGGCTTTTAAGTGTAACAAATAAACATTGAGTTGAAACGGTGGAAGACGTTTGGAAGACATGCAATAATATCGTGACATCGAAAAAGTGTGAGCAACAAATACAAAAGAATGACATGGATTATTTCAAATTCTGTAACTTTTCAGTGTGCTCATATTAATGTAATTATTTTGACAGAATATTCTTTGAATCCTAGAGAATATAAAAAACATCACAATATATTTTATCTTGCCATTTTATTACTCCTATTTTCCACTGCAAAGCAACAGATTCTCTAGTTGCAAGGAATACGTTTACAAAAAATGTAGTAACAGGAATGATAGTGACATTTTATGTATAATTCTTGATTACATTTTTTAAAGTTAAAACTATGATATCCCTTCTAACACGGTGGTTGTGTTTATTTTGAAATGTACTTTCATCCAATAAAAAAAACACGACAAATTTCCCATGTGCTAAGCTCCAAAGAGGATTTATCTGTGATATAACTAAATCCGAAGGGACTCCACCGTGTGAAAACAGCCAGTCTCACGTGGCTATGTGGTCTTGTAGAGGCACGCTTGCTGTTGAACAAGCCTGTACCGGTTCACAACCTCATCCGAATATTATTGCCTGTTACGCTCTCAATAAATATTGCCAACCTAGTAATACTAATTTTCAACCATGTTTATAAAGAGCCTTCTGTGAACAAATTTCTAAAATCCATAACGGGTTTTGTTGTTTATAAAATCACACATGCGCACGGACTACATAACGCCTTCCGAAATGCGTTTGTCCTCAGAATAATTTTTAAAAAAATTAAGAGCAGGGCAGACCTGATCATCTGTCAGGGAAAAAATGTGTTTGCATATTTGATAGAGTAGTCCCTTTGGCTCCAGTTTGAGTTACCATATTATAGGCAACCATATGATGAATATGGCCAATTCAGTAACTACTGCACAGCAAATGCTTCACTACACCTCCAGACCAAGTGCTCACATTTTTTTACTCAAATTAGCATTGTACGTTATTTGCTTTATAATCATATTAATTTTTGAGCCCTCAATATTTTCCTGTATATGGGACAACGTATTTTTTACAGATATGACTGGGGTTTCGTGACTAAAACTGCTATACCGGGGCACCCCACCCCTGAATTAGCCTGTTATTGAGGATGGGGAAACAAGTATACTTGTGTCATTACCTACAAGAGCCCTTTCCCACTCACCAGAGGCTGAGTTAGCTGATGGCTTGGTCTGCGCCGCTTGTTTGTAGTAGGAAGAGGCCGCTTTGCTGGTGGAGGGCCCGGCGCCCAGCGACACGACGTTCTGGATCTCCAGGTCGTACGGACCGAAGGACGCGGCGCCGGGCAGCTTGGGCTGACTGGGCTCGCGCGGGCCGCTGTTCCGGCCGCCCAGCAGCTCGGCTCCCCACTGCCTCGGCGAACTGTCCAGGCAGCGGCAGCAATACGACGTGGGTTTGAAACCGCAACGGTGACATCTAAATCAAACCTCAAAGCATTATAAGTGGGCTACAGGAGCTATGAACAGGAGCTATGAACACGAGTCACAAACACCGACCCCCACCGAGACTCCTCTGTCATGCGACTCGTTGTTGAAGGGCCCCTGGCCCCCCGTAGATGTCCTGTGACTCGTTGGATCTGCCCTGGCTGCTCTGGCTGCGCCTGGTGGTTCGGGGTTATTGGTGCTGGGCCCTGGCTACACTTTTCCCTGGGCTGTGCTTTGGTGTTGCTCTATCATTTCAATTCTTCAATGTTTCCTCACCCTGGAACAGCCCCCCTAACCACTGCTGGATGAAGGTTTCACCCCCCCGAGCTGCCACCTCTCACGATCCCACAATGTAATAATCCACCAATGTCAAAGATCCCCCGTATAGCCTCTTGCATACTCTTGGTGCAAGTGCTGTTGCCCCAAGACTGATTACGGCACTCTTAATAATCATTCAGCGGGCACTTTGACTCCGCAGGATAATTTTTAAAATTACATATCAGTGTCAGGGTAAATGTTCTATGCAGAGAAGTAGATGTATTGAGTCACCGCTACACTTTAAGAAAGGGGTAAGTGCCCCTGTTGGCCAAAGGCTAACATTAATAACTGAGGTCTCTCTAAGACATTTGCATGATATTAACGTGCCCATTACACTTGCAATGCTTTAATATTTATTTCTATATAATTGATTGGTGTAACGCCTGCCACTCAAGATAATAGCCGGGATCTTAATTGCACCCAAGGTCCCGAGACAGCGGCTGTGTCAAATGTAAGGTCGTGGTGCAACAATGCAATCGCAAGACGACTAAAGGCAGGCATTCATATCCTCATAATCCCATTAGAGTATGAAATGACTGCCTCTGCAAACAGTAAGGAACTTTATACTCTACTTCATCAAAGGCAATGATCTCTTGTATATCAATCTAGATTTGAAGTTTTCGTGACTGCAGGGATCCATACTCTTTGGTTCTTTCCGTAAAGTCACGTAGGTAGAAAATAAAATAAATTAAATCACAACGTTTCGGGCGCAACACAAGCGTCCGTCATCAGGTGGGACAACCACAGCAAGAAACACATTGCTGAAGTGGGCAAAAGGGCTGCTGTGACAAGAGGCTATATAAGTAAGAGAGGGGGGGAGGAACCAGGGAACAGAGATAGAGAGGGGGGTGTAGGGTAGGGGGAGTATTTTGTTATACCGACGTGACTTTACTCTTGTATATCCTTATAGACTGTTGGTAGCAAGCACCTATTGAGGCCAACATGGCACACAAGGAGGTGGAGTGCTCAATACCAAACCTGGCTGGCTTTGTCTCCCTCAGTAGTGATGTTCCACCACAACAGATACTCATTTCAGGCTGAATCGACCTAGGGTGGGCCAGGATCAGTTCAAATATATTTTTAAAATAAGACGAATGTTCTCTGTGGGCTGGAATTCAACCCAGGTCGTCATGTTTGCAGGGCAGTGTGCTAACCACCTCTCCCTTCATGCTTTATAGTGCAAAAAAAAAATGCTATATAGCTTTAATAGACTTTGGGGGTAAGTGCTGTGAGTGAGCACCTATGAAGGATGACACAACAAACGAGGGGATGTGTGGAGAGCACCAAGCTTGGCCGCCTTCGTCTCCCTGGTGGCAATGTTTACACACTGCACCAGGTACATATTTGAGGCCGAGTTAACCTAGGAGAGGCCCAGGATCGAATCAGATAATCGTCACTAGCATCGACTGAGCAGGAATTCAACTCTGGTAGCTGGGTTTATAGCACAGTCCATTAACCACAACATTACCGCTCCCTGTACTTTAAAGTACAACTGCACGCACACACACACACTCCCCCCCACACACCGACAAAGGCCCAATTATTTGATCGCACAAATTCATGAAAGGTTTACTTTAACAGATGTGACAACAAACAGCACTCACCTTACGCTCTCAGCCAGCTGCTCCACCTTTGGCTGTACGCCAGGAAACTTGACCCGTTGGGAATTGGTGTGGTCCAGAAACCCACTGGGATACACTTTGCTTGGACGACTTGGCAAAGGGACCTCAACCTTTCCACTTCGGCATATCTGTCCACTGCCACTGCCCTGAAAAGAATTGAACATTCACAAGAGGAATTTTTGGTACACATCACTGACAAACTGAGAAAAAACACCAGTCATTAGGTCTCATAATGTAGGTCTCATAATGTAAATGCTTACCCCGAGCCCTCAATACTCTGATAGTGCGCTGTTTTTGAGTTGTACGCCTTTTGGCGTCTTCTGGTCCAACACCAGTGGAGACTAGGCTCTAAGAAAAGCCGTATCGGGTGTGGACCAATCAAATTCAAGGACAGTGCATATTATTATCAGAGTTGTCTCTTTGGTTTGCATTTTGACTGCTTGTGTTGTGGTTATTGCAAACATGATGCCTTGAACAAAGGTGTCAGTTTTTGTGCCAGTTAAAAGGGTAAAACCTATTTCTATAGTCGTTAGGTATGTTAACAATATTTACCCCCACCTCCTGACAACAATGATTCAATTGTCACAATTCAGGGTCACGATATCATTGCACAGTCTTGTTTGTACCGTCTTTTCTTTCTTCACCATTCGTGACGCGCACGTTTGTAAAGTCTCTAGTTTGTTACGTCTCATCTGTACCATCCGTCTGGCTTTTGTTCGATCTTTTCTGAAGGGCCAGTCTTGTTTGTTCTCTCTCTCGTCTTGCACTGTTGGGTCTATACGAGGAGGTCGGCACCCTGCTGCACGAGCCGCATGCGTCCGTTTAAGGACTGCTTCACGGTGTTTTTGTTATTTATTAAGGACCACCGTCCCATAGTCACATGCATTGCGATATTTTGGTTTCCAATCCATAGTCTATACACTTCTGTCCGTACATTCTGACCATGAGCCAATAATAAAAATTCGCATAACATTTGTCAATTTGCATATATTAATACTAACCAAAACACAATGGTCGAGGAGCACAAGCTATTTTAATCAATGCATCGTTTCATGTCTACTAATAGGTAATAGACGAATAGGGTCAAGGACATATAATGAAAAGTATATCTGAATTATACCATGCAGTATTGAGGCTAATACAAAGAAGCTAAATTTTATACGATTTTCATGTGCATTTTCTAACCATGCACGCAAGTTAAATAATATACAATATTGCATATATGTGAAATATAAGAACATTTGCTCGATATAAGGCAAAAATTATCTTGGCGCACTTTTAACATAGCATCAGCAGTGACCTACCTTTCTGAAAAGAAAACATTATTGTGAGACTTGCTTACAGCCAGATTTTTATTTATTTCCCAGCTCGCCTGCACACGAACGTGCATTTGAAGAACAAGCATGGCAATGCAACAAAGCCTGGCAGGCAGGACAGTCATGGATTGAAGAGCAGATATCATCACTACTTCGAAAGTGTATTTGTCATAAAGCTCCCTCAAAGCCAGATGAAATCTGTACTTGAATAAAGAAACAAATGCCAGAGAGTCGACACTACGTAAGGCCTGTGAGGGTGGTGGGCACACACGTGACTAATGGGCATATGCGACTAGGCAGATGGAATTTTCAACACACATCCACGGTTTGAACAGTAACGAATGTTGGCAGAGCCTGTGCTATGCGTACGCCCAAGCATGTGGCCTCCTAAACTAGTTTACCGTGGGTACTGCCCCGTTAAAAACTGATTTAAAATAATGAAACAGAAACATCACCTGGAATGCACCCAATTTCGTCCAAATACCAAGCAGGATGGAGCCTAAAAAGTGTTCGCAAAAGTGGCCACCATGCACACGCATGGCTGATCAAGGTATACGCAATGAGCAGCAGATGGCACTGCAGCAAAAATTAAATGTTGTACTGAATGCTATCTTGCTTCAACCAAGCCTTACCGACCTGGGTGATAGGTATGATCCATAATAGTTTTTTTTTGGGTTAGATCGCGTAAATATGTCGTTAAACCCACCACCACCCGACACAGCCAATTAGTAAGGTTTGTCACGTAAACAGAAAATGCCAAGTCGTGACTAAAACCTGAAAAAAACCACTGTATTATGGATATTGGTCGTGAAAGCCTACATGATAAGTATGGTTAAACAAACCCCACAATGGGCTAAATATGGTCTTTGTGGAAATAATCAGACGACACCCTACCCATGACTTATCTCAGTATTTCAAGAAAACAGTGTAGTTTTGGCTTCCTCCTGTGATATGGCACAGAAATATGAAGGAACGTTATGCTCACAGACGCACACACCTCGCCGTATAACTCTGACACGTACACACACCCCCTCCAAAGCTCCCTCACCTGGCCGTGCGACACCATTCGCTGCATGTGCCCCACGTGGAAGCTCCCGCGGTCCGCCACTCCGCCCGGCATCGCCATCCCAGGGCTGGTGCCTCCCATCCGCGGCGTGGCCACCGACAGCAGCTTGGACTGGCAGCTCTGGGAAAGCTGAGACATTGGCGTTTTTGGCAGGATGCGGACCAGCGGCGAGCCCTGCGGCAAATGCTGCTGCCTCGACTGCGGCAGCTGCATCGGCGACGATGCCAGTGCCAAGCCGGCCGGCACGGGGGAAAGCGAGGGCTCTGTCTTCACGACGGCCCTGCCCAGCGGAGGCGGGTGGTGAGCGGGCTGGTGCTGGTGGTGCAGCGTCTGGTGCTGGTGGTGCTCTGAATGCAGCTGCTCTTCCGCCTTCATTCCCTTCACGGCTTCTTGCATCAGCTTTCTCCTCTTGTTGCCGATCCAAGCCTGGGACATTGGAATGAGTAAGCACCGGTCAATTACCGTGTCCATTGTCGGTTAGGGAAACGTGAAACCCCCAAAAAAAAACAAATTGCACTTACAGTCCACTCTAGATGATGTGGGGGACAAGGATGACCTACATACACAAAATCAAATAGTGCCAAAACACGTGTAATTTAGGTACATGTTTTATTGTTTACCTACGTAGAATTTGTATTGATTCTAAAAGTAATTTGTTTACAAAAACCACAGTATCATAACGTTTGCCAAAACAGATGATAGAATTCTAGTGGTTTATTATATCGTATGATAAGAGCCTAGCATCGCCATATCGCATCAACCCTACTACATGTGACCCAGCTGCCACAGCAACTGCTGACAGGAGAATGACATGGGGATTCACTGTGGTGGGGGGGGGGGCCTTGGCGTTTTTACCCGAACGACGTTGTAGTCGAGACCCGTCTGCTGTGAGCAGTCCATGATGAGACCAAAGCACTGCACACTCTGGTTGGTCATCCCGACGTCGTAAAAGTGCTGCAGAATCTGGTGCTGTTCCGGTGAGATCACGGACCTCCTGTACATCTGCGAGACCCAAACACGGCAACACGGACACACAATTCACTGGTAATAATCTTCACCGAGGCGGCATTTTTCCATTGGCGGCGCCGGCAGGAAATCGGTCACAACGGGCTTCAATTAAACTTCACTCCGTGAAACCTTCGATGGAAAAACACAGCTCTTGCAATCCAGAGCAGACTTGTCACATGTGGGTCAAGCTTTAATGACTACTCATCGGAATCACAGAGGTAGTTGAAATTACTGTTTAAAAATAAAACAATAACAAGCGACCAGTTGACTCACTGAGCCATCCCTGCTGAGATCGTGCATTTGAATCTGAATTTTTTTTGGTATATTCTCTAGGATTTTAAGAATATTCCAGCGATAAAAATAACATAAATAGCACAAATAGAAAAAAATATAACATTTTTAAATGCACCGTGTCAGTCTTCTGTATGCACTCCTCCCACTTCTTCTGTCTTGCGCTCTATTCTACGTCTTCTGAACTTCTTCCGCCGTTTCAATTTAATTAAATATTGATTTGTTACACAGTAAAAGCAGGTTTAGCTAGTTACCCAACTAGCTTTGGTGGCACTAAGTTGTTGTTGGAGTAGAGAGGAGCCCAGTCAGCAGCCAGCCAGGAAACACGAGGCAAGATTTTTTATAATATTATAACAAATAATTGTCTAAACAATAGGCTAGACTCAGTTACAGTGTATGGCAGGCTTCAGTTAAAGTAAAGAGACTAGTAAATGACTGTAAGATACAATTACTTAACTAGAATCTCAAAATCCCAAGCTGCCAAAATGGTAGTGTAAAATGAATAACTGTCAAACATACCAGCCCCTTTTGAAAAAAACACAGACAGTAGCGCACAAGCAGTGTTGACATCCCTAACATTTCACAATGCATTACCATGTATAACTCAGGTACACAATTGCTGCGTAATCAGTTCACACGTCCCACCCGGCATTTACCAGTAAAAATAGTTTTTAATTAAACACTTCACCTTGTCACTTTAAAACCAGTCACACTGGCAAAGTGAAAAGTCCACACACCAGACCCCATGATGGGAGACCTGCTTCCATGGGTTGCTAGGATATGGTGCTCTTCAACGGGACATACAGGTGGTAAATGCCAGGAACTTGCAAAGATCTCAACAATAAATACAATGGATTGCGAGTAAATTGGTCTGCAAGTGTTTTGCAAGACGAGCAATTTTTTAAAATAAATGTTTATTTGATAAACGAGCGATGTCTTGCAATACGAGCAGTACGTGTACAGTATACGCTTTGTCTGCCGAGCGTCATGTGATCACAACTGAGCCAATGGTTCCTCTCTCTCTCGCTGCGGGATTGTGGGTAATCATCGCCCATGCTCGGTCTCAGTCGGCGTGCCTCACTAGTATAGTCAACATCCGTGCGAGCATATACTGTTTACTATAGTATACTGTTGTGACCACGTGTGTGTGCGTAAAGCATTTTTTTAATTTTGTGTCCAAGTGTAGTAACTGTTAAATTTCGATTTAAAGCTTTCGTGACTGCAAGGATTCATCTTCTTTGGTTCTTTCGGTAAAGTCACGTAGAATGAGAACAAAATAATAAATTGATAAAATAAAATAACACAATAAAATTATCACGACGTTTCGGCCACAACACAAGCGGCCTTCATCAGGTGAAGGGACGAGACTGTCTGGAGAATTTTATTGTGTTATTTTATTTTATCAATTTATTATTTTATTCTCATTCTACGTGACTTTACCGAAAGAACCAAAGAAGATGTAGTAACTGTTCTTTAGTAACTGTACTGTAAGTGAAAGTCGTCCTACACAATAACCCTCCTCCTCCTCTCCCTCTCGTTTCCCTCACACCAGCCACGATTAAATGTAATTAATAAATTTGATTACTTTATATTTAATTTAAATACAAATATAAAAAGGTATTTTGTATTAATTAATTTTATATGAATACAGTATTTTTGGGTTGTGGAACGAATCATCTGAGTTTCCATTATTTCTTATGGGGAAATTCGCTTTGATATATGAGTGTTTTGTATTACGAGCACGTTTCCGGAACGAATTATGCTCGCAATCCAAGGTTTCACTATATCCGCAAAAGGCTGAGTATCAAAAATATGTTTTTCAGGAGGATCCTCCTGAATGTATGACCAATTCTATGTGGGAAGGAACCAGAACATCGAGAGAAAACCCACACACACGAGGCGATAATGCTCCAATATCCGCACAGACAGGTTAATAAACCCAGTTGCTGTGCTGCTCTCTGCAGGCCACCTTACAGCCCAGCAGGATTAAGAGTTTGACAGCGCGATCCACCAACTCTGCCTTGAAAATTAGACGCGTGCCACCAAGCTCAGAAACACACCACAGAAAAAGTGAGGATCTTTAGAAAATTTCTAAAGTAGACTCCATTATCCGGGGATCGTTCAAAATAGCGGATAATCCAAAAAATATTACAATTTTTCGCAAATCTCTTTGCCAAAAACTATGAATATATGTATAAATCAAGTTGAAGAAAACACACCTTCCTGCTACCATGCAGAAGACCTCCCACTAAGTGGGTGATAGCAGAGCCACCCCAATTAAAATCAATCAAACTCCCCCCACTGTTGTGAAGATATGCAACTACCACACTATCGATTTCAGATCAACCAGGGCACACATTTGTTCGGTTTAAAAGGTGACCAGTGATAAATATTTCCAAGAATAACAATATGTAACTGTTTTACATCATTAAATTGGGATTAAGGGAAAATCTATGAACTTATTAATTTATGTCAAAATCTCAGCTGCACGGTTAATCCGCAAATCGGATAAACTGCACGCGGATAATCGAGGGTTTCTTGCGTACGGTTATATGAATGGTTTCAGTTGACTTCTGGAGATAGATTATTTCAAAAGATGTTTGAATTTCCGGAGTTCACTGTTGTCGATGGTCTGGTGGGTGTTTCTGTAATCGCATGGCGGGCTTTCTCAAATATCTTGATTGTGAAGACAGTGGTGGGTGGATCTGTAATGAGAAGTGTGGATTCTGATGTATATGGACCCTTGTTTCTAAGATAGAAAATTAATTGTGGTAATAATCCAAGCCCTGCCATGTTCATTCACATTTTTGACCACAGTGACTCCCTGCTAAAACAGGGCGTTGTGAAAAACCGCCCCCCTCCCCCCCCCAAAGCAGGCTTTGAGAAAACCCTACGGGGCAAAGGCCACTGTGGTTGCTCGTAGAATTTAATTAAACAAAAATGAATAAATCAAGTGGTGTTTCATTTACAAATGTGAAGTTGTAAAGCGCTCTCGCAAACTGTAAAACAAAACGGTAAATCCTGCATAATGGTGGTTGCATAACAATCCCCAGGAGTGGTGAACAAAACACACAATTGACGCGTAACTATGCATCGCAATAAACGGTCCACCTATTAGACATCGTCAATAACTTTGCATTTATACACTAATTATTGCATTAAAGAGCATAAATAAAAAAAAATAGCCCAAGAGGCGTCTTTATAAAACACTCAAAAGATGGCTGTTGATTATTAATAGCTCCCCATTGTTTATACGTTTGATATGTTTTCTATATTCAGTGGTCTTTATTATCAAGGTGGTCAGACGAGAGGTTTTAAGGGAGTAGAGTGTGGGCTGGTTTTTAATCTCTAAAATGGCGGAAATTCAAGTGGTAATTTAGTAGACATGTTAACTTGTTCATTAAATTTTAAAGAAAGGCAACTAACAACTAATTTTGACAACAAGCTTCCCCGGTAGATGCGTTCCAATAAAAAAAACTGCCTGCCGAGTAGCGCATACTGTACGCACCAGGTTGTACTACATCTGACCGCATAGCCACAAAAGAGTGAATTCAAACCATATACAGACAATCCCCGGGTTGCGGCAGACATGACTTATGGAAATCTGACCTTACGGAAGTACTCCCATAAATCATGTAAAAAAAGTCAATGTGCGGAACTATTTGCATTAGTTACGTAAGCGGAAGTAGTGCAGCGCGGTGAGGTTGCGGATGAATACCGCAGAGCGAGGTGTAAAGGCTAAAGTCTAGGCCTAGCCTAATGCACAGTAAACAAAACATTCAGAAGCGACAACTTTCTGTTAACAATTTATATTAAAATGTTTCGTGTTATTCATAAACAATTGGATACAGTATATGTTCCATTAGTTTAATTATGGGTAGAGTTAGGTTAGATATTCGATGAAATTAAAGATTCATAGGAAGTGCAGAGCGTATGTACAGCGATACGATAGAGGTACCGATAGAAAACGGACGGCAGTGCGATATAGTACGCAGAGAAAGATAACTCGTAATCGGGTAGAGGAGGCACAACTATTTCCAGCTATGGGATTTTTTTCTTGATTTTGGGAGAAAATTGTTCAGTTTTTGACATACGGAAAATTCGGGTAACGGATTTTCCTTGGGAATCTAATCATTTCGTAACCCGGGGGACTGCCTGTATAGCGAATTTTGGGCAGAAATGTTTGCCGCATATACAGCTTGAAATCGCACAAACCGAACCCGCATAAAGTTAGGGAAACCTGTATATGTTTCCATAGTTTAAACAAGTATATATGTCTAATGTGTACCCAGGGAAGCCTCACTGAATCTCAGGTGTATATTTCAAGGTCCCACTTGGGATGTTTAGCTAATTATTTTGAGTCACTAAAGGTCAAAAGCTAACTACAGACGAGTTTCAATGATGATTTGAAGTTTTCGTGACTGCAGGAATCCATACTCTTTGGTTCTTTCGGTAAAGTCATGCAGGTATAACACAATAAAATAAATCACGTTTCGGGCGCAACACAAGCGTCCGTCATCAGGTGGGAAAGCATGGTCTGCTGCTGAGGCAGACTGTTTTAAAAGGTTTGAAATGGGTGTAGCCCAAGGATCATAAAGAAGTGGCCGGGGCTAGTGATGTTAACGTGAAAAATTAGCATGTAACTGTAAGATAGGAGGAGAGCGGCCTCCTGGACGAGGGCACGGAAGTGGCTATGTTAATGTGAGAGATTAGCATGAAATAACAGCTGACATAGTAGGATGGAAACATCAGTCAGTTAATACTTTACCTGGTTAATAACGTCCTTCCAATGATTGCTCAGCTTGTACCCATCCTATCGGTTGAAGTTGTGTCTGCGTTTATATATCTGGATGGCTTCATGAATAAATCTCTGAAGGTAGCCGGTAGGTATGCAGAGTACCTCCGTCTTGGAAAAATCTATTTCGTGTGAGCCCACAATGATCGGCAATGGCAGAGGTATTGTTTTAGATCTGCCTTGTGTTCATGAACGTGGTCCGAGACATGTCGTTTCGTTTCCCCAATGTAACTGCTACCTCAACCACAACTCAGTTTGTAGACACCAGGGTATTGCATGTCAGGAATCTCATCCTTTACAGATGGGATTAAATCACGGATTTTGTGTACTGCCATGGGGAGACAACCTTCTGAGGATCCAACCAAAACCATCACTTTGCCATACATAGCAGGCGTTACCAAAAATATTTCCAAAATCTTAAACACAGGATCCAGGTTCGTTTCAACAAATATAAAATAAATGTATACATAATGTCATGTGCTCCATGTGAATATTAATTAACTACTTAGCATACTGCATTAATTTAATGAAGATTCTTAGTTGGCGGTGTCCAGGACTCGCATAGCCAAGCGACATGTTAAAATCAGTGGGAGAAATGTAATTAGCCAGTCTGAATTACTATATTGTTCACATATTTTTGTATGCAGGTTGCAACAGGAAAGCAAGGTCACAAAACCCAATAAACATTTGAAATGAAATGGGATCAGGGTCATGTTTGTCTATGGGCCCTATTTTATTACATGTAAAATACATAAATATGACGGGCCTATGTAAGTACAGTACAACGTCGCATGTCCGACACACTGGGGACTGAGGTATAGACGGATAATGAAAAGATCAGATCTGTGAAGTTCTATTGAACATGACAATTGTGCAGTACACAAATACTGCACTGGGCGTGGGTGGTTACTTGGTCAGAGTGGATATGTGATGCTTGGATATGTGTATGTGGGTTCCACAGTTATTCCATGGGACCTATGTAACAATTATTTACATGTACTGGAAATCAACCTGTGTTTCATGAAACTTTAAGTACATACAATGCTATTTTCATGAAAAGTATCTCCGTATGGGAAAGCTTAAACGTATCTTTCAAAGGTATGAAATGGTGATAAAACATGCTGCTGTGCGCTCACAAGCACACAAAACCAGCCTTTGTTATGCTATGTTCGACAGCAGGCTGTAAACACCTTGCACACCTTCCTCGAGGAGTTGAGACACGGGGTGCAGGTCGCAAGTTGTTAGAGCTCGCTGGTGAAACTGGTTGAAAAAGGGAAGTCTGAAGCTGGCATTTTCTGCTTCTGTAGTGGCCAGAAGCACATGCCAATATTGTATCTGATGCCGTGTCCTCGTTTGTTTTCACACGAAATGGCCGTCACAGATCCGGCTACATGGGCCCACTTTGCAAACAACGGTCATGCCAGCGTCATGATAATTGTCAAGAGAGTGCAATTAAGCCAATTATGCGATTAAATAAAACAAATTGCGTTTATAAAACACCACGGACTTACGTCGCACAGGATGGGTGGCTGGGCGCACGTCATCCTGCACTGTCACTGCAGATAAAATTATCCAAATTATGGAGGCTGATAATTAAACTAAGGGCCCAACACACACCCACGAGTGGAAAGAAAGGCCGTGGGTTGGAACATAACTAGCACATGGCCTTGACATAAACATTTACGACAGTGCAATGGCAGCAATTTAAGTCACAAAACAATTCTTGCATACACACCATCCATTTGGAGTTCATTGTGGGAAGATGTTCCTTATCGTGTCCTCATGAAAAATTGCTGATGGCCGGGATCGCAATGCGGCACTGTTCCCAGCAGCGTCTTGAACTGGATGTGAACGGAAACACGCGCAAAGAGGTGTATAACCTCGTAAAAAACACAAAAGAAACATTTGCGTGATATGGTAATTGAAACAGCAAACAGCCGAGTTAGAAATTAAGCAGCACACAGTATTTAACACAGTACAAAAAAGCCCTTCATATGTTCAGGAAAACCTGCCCAATGGTTAAGACTATTCTTTAGGAGGGTTTTGCATTGTGTCTGGCTTTGTGTGGAAAGAAATCGAGGTACTCCAAGGTAGCCCACACATATAATGGAATAATGCTCAAAGCTCTGCACATATTCAACCAATTACTGTACTGCCTTATTCTTCCCACCTCAGTTCAGGGCTACCGTACCTGGCATTCCCACAAAGTCTGCCATACGGCGTCTAATGAGGCTTTGTTAGCCCTGCTTGGCCTCCGAGATCTGACCAGAACGGTGCATTGAGGGCGATTTGAATCATTCCCCCCCCCCCCCCCCCCAAATAAAAACAGTTAATCAGTGAGTTTTACCTCGTAATAGTTACTTTTATATGAATTCTCAACCACACAGATGAACAGAACCGTGGGTCTTTATACATATTTTAGTATTCTTGGTTCTTTCGGTAAAGTCACGTAGAAGGGAAACAATATTATTTTGTTTCCCTTCTACGTGAATACCTGCAGTCACGAAAGCTTTAAATAAAAAAAATAAGTGTTTTCGGTAAGACATGCCCAGCTGCTGACTGGCAGAGAACCAATTGTATTCGTCGACTCTAGATTATCCGAGATATTGGGTGGTGGCCCAGATACAAAAAAATGCAAAACATAAATAAATGAGGCTACAACACACGTTGGGAGCGTTTTGCCAGTATGACAGAATAATAGGCTTTATCCTTTCTGGAAATAAAACATGTGTCTGTCTGGTGTATAGGCCAATCAGTTTCAAAGACAATGGAAATCATCAGATCATGTATGTTCACCACAAGTACGTGTGCTTGATGCAGACACGATTCCTTGCAACGGTTTCTGATTGGTGTTTGAACATCTAAACACCTGTTTTATTGCCAGAAAGGGTAAATCCTCTTATTATTTTTTTACAACACCCATTGTTTACCTATGTTGAATGGGGTTGAAGGCATGGCGTGCATCATGCTGTTATTGCTCAAAAGGGAGCTTCAAAGCCCATCCGCATTTCTCCCGGATAAAATACGAGATTCTGATCCAAAAGTAATCGGTTTACTTGCAGGCATGTTTGTGATCACGTAGCTAGCCACTGACCCTCGATGAGTAAGGAGCAGCTCCTAATTACATTGAGCACGGATTTGTTTTAAATCCCAAGCAAGGTGTCCAAGCAGGATAATCTGCTCGTGGATAACACAACCACGGGCAATCCTAGTCACCAGTATATTGATCTTAACGTTTGTTTGGCATCATCAGTGAGGCATATCGAGTTCCATACAGTACTGTCAAATCACCAAACATTATCAAATCACCAGAAGTGCATCCGATCTCGTCAGTTCTCAGAGGCAGAGCGGTATTTTGTACCGGGATGGTACATAGTTGGGTCACCACACACACACACGCATAAGCCATGCGCTGTTGGTTGCAACATTCCACTGTACTATGCTCCCACGTCTGTTGCCTACACCGGACCGCCATCACACACACACACAAAAAGACCCCCGCACAGACCAACGTGGTTTAAAGTACGGTTACACGCTGAAACACGCGCCCACAACCTAACACACGGCGTGGGCGGGACATCATCCAGCAGTGGACCGACAAAAAAGCCTGTACACGTTCTCCGGGTCAGGAGAACAGGACGTGGTGTTTACCTGGGGTCCAACCTTCATTCATAAGCGTTCACCAGGGAGACGTGCCCCCCACTACCACACCCCCCCCCCCCGGCTACACGTACTGCTGTTGCTACCCCCCCCCCCCCCCAGTACGTACACGAACGTTCAAAAACAAAGACTTTCACCCCCCCCCCATCCTCTGCAATCAACTACCGGATAAGCGCCTCACAAACCGCGCAGTTCGCGGGGTTTATTGGATCGTACTTGGCCCACGGTGTTCGTCAGCGCGGGGTTGGTTGATGAATGCGGGACAGCATAGACGCGTTTTGTTAAGGCGGATTGACATGGGGTAGAAGGAGGTGAGGGTAGATAAGTACAGTACAATAGAGTTCCCTGTGTCGCCCTCTGTTGCGAAAACAGCATCGCGACATCCTACAGCGCCTGGTGAATACACAGGGCCGGTCACCCATCCCGAGCACTATCCAGGCTTTTCGTTGCCCACGTCGCAGCAGCAGCCACCACCGATTTCTCCGCCGTCGTGCTTCCGAGACGAAACGCAATCTCCCGAGGCGATTTTTTTTTGTTTGGGGTCGGCGCGAAATCTCGCAGACGTAGGGAGAAGGAGAATAAGAAGAAAAAAAAACCCCACCCCGTAACAAATCGCGTTATAAAAAAATCGCAAGCCCGGGAAAAAAAAACCGTTTCACGCGGGATAATATTTTATGTTAATGATGCTTTGTGTGAGAAAGCTTATTAGCATAATTTATTACGGCGTTGCAAAGAGCCTGCATCATTAAGGACCCTATCAGGAACGCAAGAAAAACACGGCTTTTTTTAAAAAAAATATATATCCCCAACCACAGGCGAACAGCGCCACGACAAAAGTTAACGCGTTAACATCACCACCACCACCGCCGCCGCCGCCTCCTTAAAAGAAACCCCCGAGATTTACTCGCAAAAACGCGGCGAGATTATTTCGGATTTTCACGGCGGTCTGAGGGGAGCAGCGATGGTGGTTGGTGTCGTGTTGTGTGTGGTGGTGGTGGTGTGCGTACAATGGGGCCCGTCCAAACCCGCGCCACCCAGCGGTACCTGTCGCAATCACGCGCGGGGATTTCTCTGATTGCCCGCTCGAACCGCGGACGCTTCGACCCCGCGCGCGGTCGGCGCCAAAAGTGGTCCAAGCCGGAGGGGGGGGGGAGGCAAAACAAAACAAAAAAATCTCGCGGTGAAACGGAACGAAAAAGAAGATCAAGAAATCAACGCGAAATCAGCGGGAGATTTGTCGGCGCGGTGACGGGGGGGTGGGGGCGGCGAAAGGGCGCGGCGGAGCCCCCCCCGATCTCGCGGAGGGAGATCATGATCGTGACGTCATGGCCACTTGGGGGGGGGGGGTGAGGGGGGGTTGAGGGGTGGGGGGTTGCTTGGATCGCGACGGCGAGCGGCGAGGGGCCGCGCGAAACGCGTTTCGTATTTAGTCCCCACCCCCGTCAACTCACCACCAACCCGCGACTGGTGGGGGGGGGGGAGTGTTGCGAGCGAGTGAAGTGACTCAATAAATAAGTAAATAAATCGCCGTGCCCTTCTTGCTTGCGCGCGCGCGTGCGGTAGTTAAATTAATAATGAACGCCGCGCTCATTCCGGTTCGTGTGGCTGAGCTGCTCCACGTTTATTTTCGACTGATGGTGGTGGCGGTGATGGTGGTGGTGGTGATGTTGCAATGATGTTGTCATTCTTGGCGACGTGATTGTTACTCGCATCGGGCGTGGGTTTGGGGTTGGCACTCGCGCTCCAGCTACAAGCCCTCTCGATTGCTTGGCTTGCCCCTGCCATCGCTATGGATTGCCCCATAGTCTGCCCTGCTTGTGTGCATTTTAAATGTTGCTCCGTTCGTTTTTGGTCGGTGCGATGAGGACGCGCGACGCCTGTGCAGGGCTGGATGCAGATCACATTCATTGGGGCTCATTGCAATCGAATATTTTATTTCTCAAACTAACATCTTGGAGACAATGGAGCCCGTCTCGAGATGGACAATGGAGCAAGTGGTGCTGTGGATTCAAGGTGAGATTAAATAATTCGCGCTCACTCGTTCGTTTATTCACCCCCCCTCCCTCCCATCCATCACCTCCAATCACATTTACTCAACACCCATTCATGAAGTAGCCCGCTCATTTATACATTAGCACATTCATTAAGTTATTTGCTGTTAATTGATTGCGATGTCGAAACGTTAATTTGCTCGTGAATTTATTCATGCCTCGGTTTACGAATGTTTTATTTTTCTTTCAATAAAAACAACTGCAGTAAACAGTACATTCACAAATCAATGAAAGTTATGAAGTCATTCACAAGTGCGAACATTCACCCGTTCAGTTGATGCATTAATTTTTCATTCATTAATGTATTAGTACATTCACTCGCAGCAATCAATGAATTCACGCACATGCACCATTCCCCCATGGTATCACATTCAACTTTTCATTCATCTGGTCATCGTTCATTGCCCCAGCCATCGTCTTTCACTGCATTCGCGGTGAATTTAATTCGTTCAGTCACCCATTCGTCTATCGCCAGCCGCCACGATCGATACACTGTTAGATGAAGGCCTCTCCAAGTGATCCCACCATCCACCCATCATCCCCTCCTTTGAGACACGCGTATTGCCATTGCTCTTGGCATCCTCAAGATGCCATCCATACATGAGTCTGGAGGGGGCACGGGCTGTGAGAACAAGGTGACTGTGAGGACAGGGTGTGGGTGGCATAAAATACAAAGGTCACCTCGTATCGCCGAAACAGACTGTTGTGACAAGTGCTGTTAGCGAGCACCAGTGAAGGCCGGCATGGAACACGAGGGAGTGGGTGACCGGCACCACGCCTGGCCGCCTTTGTCTCCCCAGCGCTGAGGTGTTTATACACAACGCACAAGGCACTCATCTCGGAGAGGGCCGGTAACGCTTAGAATATTCGTCACTGTCGTCGGTCGTGAGCGGGAATTGAAACTAGCGCAGTGCGATAACCACTGCCGCTACCTGGGGTGGCACAGGAGGATTATGACAAAAATGACACGAGGGCATAGATAGACCTGGTACATTCGAATAAAAGCACAATCATACGCGAATTGTCATGGTTGGCACAAACCCACACAGGCCATGAACAATCACTCAAAAGGCATCCGCACGAACAGATCGCAACCCAACTTGCTGTACTACCTACTGTAGGGTCACCACCACCACTGTGTTGGCGGGGAGTTCCGTGCGTCCGATGGTTCCATCGCTTGCGTGATGTGCCCACCTAGGCCCGCGTGCAATTTCAGTTCCACGGAACGCTTCCCACGACATTTCGGGCCTCCAGGGCTGGGGCGTCCGATTTCAGTTCCACGGAAAGCTTCCCACGGCATTGCGGGCCTCCAGGGCTGGGGGAAGTGGTTGTGGAGCTGGTGACTCAATTCACAATAATCACTTTACGTCGTTAACTCGGACTCGTGCCTTAAATGGAGCGGTCCTTGCCTTTAATATCCAGCAGTTCACGGGCATTGGTTCAAATCACGCACAATGGACTCTGCTGATGGGGCACTGTGTGTCAAAACCGATCCCATAAGGGCGTAGAGACGATGGGTTGTGTAAAGAATACTTTTAAATGTCCTTAAAAACAATTAAAAAAAATTCTACTTTTATATTTTACGTGCGGACACATATGAAGGAGACAATGTCTGCTGATCTATTTAATATGTTTTGTTTACTGCACGGTGGACTCTTCTTTGGTAAACACAAATGTTGGAACAACAACAACAATAATAATACAAACTTCGCCACTGGGCAGATAATTACACGAATTAATGACTATCGGAATGAATGTTGCGAGTGGCGCAGGCTTGGAGGCGGGCCTGCAGCAGTACGCGCCGGCCTTCCTGGAGCACCGTGTGGACGGCGCGGCCCTGCTGGCCATGAGCGCCGAGCAGCTCGAGGTGATGGGCGTTGGGCGCCTGGGCCACCAGGAGCTGCTGCTGCACGCGACCGGCTTGCTTCACTCCCTGGTGCGACGAGACGCACTCTCTCTCCCCTCGGCTCTCTCCACTCCTCTCCACGGATCTCTCTCCGCTCTCTTTCCTCGGCTCTCCCTCCTCGGCTCTCTCTCCCCTCGGCTCTCTCCGTGGCTCTCGGCTCTCCATGGCTCTCTATCCGCTCTCTCTCCTCCCATTGGCTCTCTCCATGGCTTTCTCCATTCTTCTCTCCATGGCTCTCTCTCCGCTCTCTCTCATCCCCTTGGCTCTCTCCACTCTGCTCTCCATGGTTCTCCCCTCTCTCCTCTCCATAGTTCTCTCCACTCTCCTCTCCTTGGCTCTTCACTGTCTTCACCACGGCTCTCTCCACTCTCTCTCCCCTTATCTCTCTCCTTCCTTCTCCGTGACTCTTTACATTCTCCTCTCTTTGACTCTCTTCTTCTCTCCTTACCATGGCTCTCTGCTCGCTCTTGCCCAGCCAATGCTCCCAGCCGCCTGTGCTGACACCCCATTGCTAAGCTTCATCCTGGTCTGTCTGGCGACCCAGAAAACATTTACGTACGTGGCACACCACATCCAGTATACCTCTCTGGATGTTAGTGAAAGCCGGGGATCACATTTAGGCTCGCTGGGTTCATGGTGCATTGCACGAGCCACTGCAGCATTGCCCTACTCCGAGATTAATCATCCTGGGAACCACTCGAAGGGGATGATACATTGGCTGTGAATTATTCAAGACATTAACGTGTCGGGTAATATACATTACAAACTTTCGAAAGCTCGCGAGCAGTTTTCAGCTTTTGGTCGTAAACGAGCGGAAGTGTGCAGTGTCCCGCTGCTCAATTTGCACTTTCATTGCGATCATCAGCAAATATTAAAATAGCGCTCAGCGCACGGTGCGGGAGGTGACTTCCACGTGCGGGCGAGCGGTGAAGTATGGCGTGTCGTGAACAACACCACCACCATTAGCATCCCAGCGAGCCGGGTTACACTCTTAGCCGTAGTGCAAAGGCACAGCAGCTGAGGGTGCCCTCGGAGTGAACGGTTCCCGGTGAATCCTGCGTCGATTACCGACGGGATCAGCCAAGTTTGCCCCCCACCACCTCCCGTGCCCACAGATAAAGAGGAGAGTTCTACTGCTGCTAGAGTTATGCTAAATTGCTGGCTGCTGACTCAGTACTGAGCCTGCCTTTCATGCGCCACTGTGTATCGAACGGTTCCGTCACCGGGCACAGTCGGCATTTATGTTGCCTCCTTGTTGAAAGGAGAATAACGAAAAAAACGGAGACTCGGCAACAAAAATAATCTATATTCTTCTGTGCTTAATGGGTTAATATCGTAGCCACATCTTTACGCGCGGTTTTAGAGAGGGGGGGGGGGGCGGTTTTCATAAAACCACAGTGGCGCTGAGCACCCCTACCCCTAGTTAGTGTGCAGCACCAGTTGCCAGTGCAATGTGACACTGACTTGGGCCTCCCCTTGTTCGGCTGTGCCTCGCTGCGTGCCTAGCAGCCATCAGATCTGGCAAGGCAAAGGTCGCCCAGTGGGTCAGAGGTCGGAGCGCTGAGCTTGGCACCGTTGTGAGATCCTGGCTTTTGAGTCGCGGGGTTGTGTAGCATCGTGCGAGTTAATTGGCCTTAGCCCGGTGACTGTCGGAGTCTTTATTGGAATCTTTGTTCGTTACTGGAGGAGTCCGTTGAGCTATGAAGCTCTTTTTGACAGAGCAGAGTACTGGGCAGACTCCAGCTTGTTCAGAATGCGGCTTCTAGAGTGCTTACACGTACACCATTCCATGAGCACATTACAGCAGTCCTCTTATCCCTTCATTGGCTACCAATCGAATTTCGAGTGGATTTTAAGATACTGCTATTAACCTATAAGGCTTTAAAAGGGCTCACCCCACATTACTTGCATGAACTAATGCATTTGTATATTCCATTAAGGTCCTTAAGATCTTCTGATCTCCAACTGCTCAGCACTCCCAGGGTCTAGGTTGCGCTCTCTTGGCGATGGGTGCTTTTGTTCGTGTGGCACCCAAGCTATGGAACGCCTCGCCACTTGA